TGGTCTCTCCTTAAACTATTCAACCACTTACATCACTGTGTCACCTCTGCCACTGTCCATCTCCTTTGTCCATTCTTTTCTTGCTGTAGGTCTACCCCTGTGTGCTTGACTGCACACAGACAACTGAGGCAGGATGGGGAGGGTGATACCTATTTTTTGTTCAGTTGGGCAAAGGAATGATAAGAATATCTTCTCTGGTGCTTAATATCTGCTACAAGCTTCACCTATCTAGGCCAACCACACTGACGTTCAGCACATTTCTTGGCTGAGTTGCTATAGTTCAAAACCTCAATCCAGGGATTCAAAGTAGGCACATTTGGTGAGGTAAGGAGGAGGTGGATGTTACATATTTAATAATGTCAGGCTTTGCTTGTATACTGTAGAGAAGAAATGGTTCTTCTCTGGGAGGAGGAGTGCTGGTGTGTAGCAGATTGCTGGAGACAAGAGAAACAAAGAGCAGGAGGCACCTTCAGATGGGTGAAGTGGATGAGAGGGAGAAGAGGTGAAAGAAAGAGAAAGCAAAGACAGAACAGACTGATGGGCAGCACTGTTGACACCTATGATACTTTGCAGTCAATATTGATTCAAACAACTGTTGTGGTTTAACCCAGCCAGCAGCTAAACACCACACAGCCATTTGCTCACCCTCCCCCCTCCCTCTCTGGGATGGGGGAGAGAAACGGGAAAGTGAAGCCTGTGAGCTGAGATAAAGACAGTTTATTAAGACAGAAAAATAATACTAACAATAATAATAATAATGATAATAGTACTACTACTAATAATGTGTACGAAACAAGTGATGCACAATGCAATTGCTCAGCACCCGCTGACCGATGCCCAGCCTAACCCCTCCACCCCGGCTATCCACCCCTATATATTGTTCAGCATGACACCCTGTGGTATGGAAGACCCCTTTGGCTAGTTCGGGTCAGCTGTCCTGGGTCTGTCCCCTCCCAGCTCCTGCTGCACCCCCAGCCTGCCCACTGGCAGGACAGAAGGAGAAGCTGAAATGTCTTGGTGTAAGCAATGCTCTGCAACAACTAAAACATCTGTGTGTTATCAGCACTCTTCTCATCCTAATCCAAAACATAGCACACTACCAGCTACTAGGAAGAAAATTAACTCTGTCATAACTGAAACCAGGACAACAGCAATCCTGAATTGGGTCATTCCAAGTAGGAAATTGGTCATCTTTACAAAAATCAAAGGGAGCCTACCGTGACATTAATCCAGCAGCGGGTATCTTGAGAATCCAAGAAATCCTGGCATAAATTGCCTTCAAGTATGGCAAATGGAAAGGAGGAAAAAGGACATAGAAAAAGGAAGTATGGTTTCCTTGTGGGAACAGAATCCTGTCAAATGCAGAAGCATAAGCAGAACTGGAGTAAAATCTTCCTCTATGCAGTTAAAATGATGTACAAAGCCTTTTTGTTCTGTACTGCTGGATAAGGGTCGGATTTTCCATCCCATGGAACCAGAACCCAAAATTCTTCCAAATGTCATTCTGTGCTCAGGGAATCCACTCTTTGGTAAAACTGGAAAGCACACAAAAGGGCAGGGGAAGCACAGGCTGGTTGTGTGTCTCTGCGTGCTGTTCCTGTGGGAAAGACAGTGCTTCAAGAGAACAAAAGGGTGCTAAAACCGCTTCTTTAAAATGCGCAGATTTCTTCTTTGTCTTAAGTAAATTCCCATTTCCTTTGACATCAGGTTGGTAGACCCATGCCTGAGGAATGACTTCAGCTTCCTCTTTCTCAGCTCTCCATCTAATTTAGAACAATGTGTCTAGTAAGGCATCTAACAAACCTTGGTGACTAATGTTTTTGTTTTCTTATGCTTGTGACTGCCTGGTGAACTCCCAAAAGAAAACTGGTTTATGCTGCCTGGGATTTACTTAGTGAACCTTCTGGTGCTGATTCCAGCTGTTTTTTCCATCTCTTTCCATGGCATTTACCTTTCTCTCCCAGAAAATATGTAATACGCACCTGTGTCTATTAGGGAGAATATTTTGCAGGCAATAAATGGTAGAGAGATAATAATTGTTTGTCTGCAAAATCCAATAACAGAGTTTGAATTCAGAATCTCTTCATCTAATAAATAATAACAATAATAATAACAACAACAATAATAATAAATTTAATAATATTTAATAATAAATAAAAGTTTCTAATTTAAATATTTAATAATAAATACAAGTTTCTAAGGGTACGGGTCATATGCAAATCAAAGTGTTAAGCTATTTGGTAAAGTACTTGCTAATATCAGTGATGGTAGTCATAGTTCTGAGGAAAGGAGGAACTTTCACACTTCATCTCATGCCAGGATGTTCCTATACAGTTGTTAACTATTTGACTGTGCTCGGCCCATATTAATTGTTCTTGTGTGGCTAATGATAGCACAGAAAATTAGTGAATGATAACTCTCATGTGGAGCTCTTAATTAGGCAAAGAGTGGGTTTCCTGCATAATCTGTGCAAATGAGAATGTGTTACTGATGGATGGGAGGTAGGAAGACTCCTGAAATACTTGCCCCTAGTGTGGGTTGAGTGAAGGATTTTGCCTGATGAAGGGCATGGTGCTGGGTTGTCCTGAGTGCTGCCTGCGCATATTATCCTGTTCCACACAGGGTGAGAGGCCACTCCTTGCTGGGAGCTCTGCTAGAGCCTCCTTTCCTATGTGGAGATCCCTCCTGCTGGGCTGTCTGTGTGGAGCTTGGAGCTGCAGGTGTAGCTACCATGTGAAGCAATAGAGTGAGCATGCAGGCCTAAAACTCAAGGGAACTGAGGAGGAAACAGCTGGGGAAAATGGGGAGGAGAGGGAGCAGTGGGGGCTAGTGCTGTGCAAGCAGGTCAGTGCCCTGCTGTCACTCAGTCCTGAGCCTGATCACTGATCATCAGGCTGTCCTCTCTGAGGCTATTGTGGCTATTTGCTGTGAGGGACAGGCTCAGTAATCCAATAAGAAAGGGGTGAATGATGCTGTATGTGAGGTGGACACCACAGCACTCTGTGTCTTGACGCAGCAGAAGGAAGACCTGATGTCCTTGCCCAAGTGTGCCAGGGTCCCAGCATGGAAATCTTATCACAGTGATCTTTGAGGCTGCTGCATCCCAATTTTCATCCAGAAAACAACTGTACACCCCCTTAACAGTAACATCCGTGGGTAACAAATACCCTAACATCTCTGGCCACGGGCTAGGGCCCTCCTACCCGTTTTTTCTCATCAGAGTGATGCAGCCCCCGGTGGTGGCATCCACCGCCATTCCGGCCAATGGGGAGCAACACTGCATGGGCTCAACCCCGTTAGGCAATTATCCACCTCTGTTTGGATTTAACCTCCTGGTTCCACGCATCGTGGGCGGGGGGCTCTCCTCGAGTGGCGCCTGTGCCAGCTGAACTGGCCGAGCACACTGTCAAGGCCACCAAGCTCAGGTACATCACTCCCATATCGATCCTTTGTGACTCCCGTGGCTCTTTTCAGAGCCACCCACTTTTTCATTTGAAAGGCTTTGTCAGTGCTCTCTGTCCTGTAAACCTAGCTTGCATTATTTGTTTTGAGACCAACTTAAGTATATTTTTTCATTCTGTTGCAGTTTTCCCACTGAAGATGAGATCTGTTATTTGACCTTATAAAACATACGGTGCCTAGAAAACCCGGGAAAGCCCGTCAGGGGGCAGTAGAGACTAGGACATCACAAAAAGTAACACAGATCTCACCCATCTGAATATTCCACGCTAAAATAATTCATGGTCTTGCATTAAAAACCTTAGAATAGAGAAATATTATGAAATACCTAATAATAACCTCTAACATATGTTTTAAGTATAAGATAAATGTTCTCTTTGTGGATTTGTTAAATATGTCAAAGGACATAAGTGTATTTGGTTATGTACATTACTGCTAAAGTAAAGCCGATAATACAGGAGCAAGAACAAAGGACTGAGCATCGACACGACTTTCCCTTTCTGTCCTTGCACACAGCAGGGATGCTCATTGAGCAGTGTCACACATGTGCAAGAATTGCCACAAGTAAGTAAGTGTAGCCCAGAAGAGTGCAGTAAAGGGTGGTGGTAAAGAAGCTACTGAAATCAAGTTATGACTATGGCATAGAAAGCAGTAAGTTTGTGTGCATTAAACAAAGTGTCAGGAATAGGAGATAAAAACCACAGGTATAACACAAGGACTATTAAGTCATCTACACAGAAGATGTATTTAAGATCGGAGAATGTGCCCTTAGTAATATTTAACGGAAATTAAAGCCCTTTCAGTGAAAAGGTGGGTGGCTCTTAAAAGAGCCTTTGGGTTAAAAACAGGATCCGCGGCGCTCTACTTGGAGCTGGTGTACTTGGTGACCGCCTTGGTGCCCTCGGACACGGCGTGCTTGGCCAGCTCCCCGGGCAGCAGCAGCCGCACGGCCGTCTGGATCTCCCGCGACGTGATGGTCGAGCGCTTGTTGTAGTGCGCCAGGCGCGACGCCTCGCCGGCGATACGCTCGAAGATGTCGTTGACGAAGGAGTTCATGATGCCCATGGCCTTGGACGAGATGCCCGTGTCGGGGTGCACCTGCTTCAGCACCTTGTACACGTAGATCGAGTAGCTCTCCTTGCGGCTCTTGCGCCTTTTCTTGTCGCCTTTCTTCTGCGTCTTGGTGACGGCTTTCTTGGAGCCCTTCTTGGGCGCGGGCGCAGACTTGGCCGGCTCAGGCATGGCGATCACCGTCTCACAGCAAACAGCACCGCTTACCGCTTCTCCTCGCAGCAGCGCAGTGCCGCACCCGCCCGTCGCAGCCGCTCTTATAGGGGCGCGATGCAGAGCAGCGGCTCCACCGCTCCGCGCCGCCATTGGCTGGAAGTTTGGCTTTGTGTCGTCACCTAACGCCAGACTTCGGCATTGGGCGCCTTTGGATCCGCGCTGCCATTGGCTGCTGGCGTTCTGCCGCCCTCGCAGCCAATCAGCGCTGCCGCCCGCGGTCCGCCCGAGCCGAATATAAGGCGGCGGGGGCGGCCCGGGGCAGGTCGCTGCGTGCGGTGTTTGCTGGAGTCGCTGCGATGTCTGGGCGCGGGAAGCAGGGCGGGAAGGCGCGGGCCAAGGCCAAGTCGCGCTCGTCGCGGGCCGGGCTGCAGTTCCCCGTGGGCCGCGTGCACCGGCTGCTGCGCAAGGGCAACTACGCGGAGCGGGTGGGCGCCGGCGCCCCGGTGTACCTGGCGGCCGTGCTGGAGTACCTGACGGCCGAGATCCTGGAGCTGGCGGGCAACGCGGCCCGCGACAACAAGAAGACGCGCATCATCCCCCGCCACCTGCAGCTGGCCATCCGCAACGACGAGGAGCTCAACAAGCTGCTGGGCAAGGTCACCATCGCGCAGGGCGGGGTGCTGCCCAACATCCAGGCCGTGCTGCTGCCCAAGAAGACCGACAGCCACAAGGCCAAGGCCAAGTGAACATATTTATAATACATTTGGAAACATCCACAAAAGGCTCTTTTCAGAGCCACCCACAAAATTCACAAAGAGTTGAGTCATGCTTTGTAGTTCTGGTTTTTCTAATGAATGGTGATGCAAATGTGTAAATTGTTTCTTGTTAGTGTTTCTCTTACCTCTACCTGCCTGTCTGGGTGGTAATAGTTACTTTTGTGACTTTTTTTTTTTTTATGTTGGGTGGGGTGGGAGAACAGATCTTTCATGGTGTTTTGTTTGTTTTTTTGTTTTTGATGTATGTCTCACCAAATGTACTTGGTGTTGCTGTAAAGTCTCATTATAGCTGCAACTACAGGGTAATACATTAAATCGCTGCATTTTTCTTTATTATTTTTTCCCTGATTTACCTGTCAAAGTGAGGGCTGAGTCGTTCAGCCTGGGTGCTGCATGAGCTCTAGTAGGGCTGTCGTATTTCCACCCATCTGGCACCAGGGTCCCACAGCCTTGGATGGCTGCGTGTGCCGGGGTAGGGAGCCTCATGGGCAATGCGTTTTCAAGCGGAGGAGGAAAGGAAAGCAAAACAATAACAAAATAAAAACATATCAAACAATAGCATGCAGTCCTGGTGTTTCCCCTGAACTAGCTTTTTCCCGGGGGAAGGGTTATAATTCCCTGCCTCGGGCCCCTTGGTGCTTTCCCTTTTATCGGCTCATTAACGCTGTTACGTGGGGGAGTGCCCGTAGCTTGGCGGAGCTGGCCGGGGCGGAGGAAGGTTGTGGCCGTTCCGCTGTCCCCGCCGCTTTCAGTTTCGGTTTTCCACTGCTCTCGGCCCGGTGCGCTGCTTCTTGCCCAGAACGCGCGGGGAGCTCCAAGCTCCCGGCCGGCTTCGGGAGCGGTGTGGTGGTTTTACCGTGCTAGGCAGCTAAACACCACAACCGCTCTCTCACTCCTCCTCCTTAGATGAGGAGGGGAAGAAATAAAGTAAAGAACACACGGGTTAAGATAAGGATAATTTAATTAAAGGGAAAAATAATAACTATTATTATTAAGGGAAGATTATTAACTAAATGATTTAACTAAAGAGGAAAAAAAAGGTAAAGGGGAATAGGGAAAAAAGGAAAAAAAAAAACTGACAAAATAAATAAAGGCTATGTGGAAGTGCAGAGGAAAGAAATTAGTCTCTACTTTCCACAAATGAGCAATGCTTGACCACGTCCTTGAAGCAGGGGCCTCAAAGCACGTAGCTGGTGTTCGGGAAGAGGACTGATGTTTTCACAATGAGAGCCCATCCCTCCCTTCTTCCTCCTGTTTCCACCTTTTATTGCTGAGTGTGACACCACATGGTATGGAATATCCATTTGGTTGGTATAGGTCAGCTGCCCTGGTGATGTTTCTTTTCTCACTTTTTTGCCCACCCCCTAGGAGGGTTAGAGAGAGTCCTGATGCTGTGCCAGCACTGCTCAGCAGCAGACACAACACTGGTGTGATAACACTGCTGTTCCAGCTACAAGTGCAAAACACAGCACTGTATGGGCTGCTACAGGAAAACTTAATATCCCAGCCAGACCCAGTACAAGCGGCTCGAAGAAAGGCTGTCGGGCTTCCAGCGGGATGTGATGCGCTTTTACGGCCACTTCAGTGTTTTGCGTTGTGTTGCTCTGTTTGCCTCCGGCGTCTTTCTCTTGGCTTCAGCGAGGCTCCTCAGATTTCCCTTCCTCTGCCCCCGGTACTTCCCAAGAAAGATGTGCACTAACATATCTATACATCTGGTGTTTATTGAGTTTAGTTTTCTTTAAATCGACTCGGGAATAAATTTTCCCAGCCCGGGGGAGGAAAGTCTTCACTCTCCATCCGTTTGTTCCACGCTGTGAAACTGTCTTTGTGTCAGCCACTGAGGATTGCAGCAGAAATGCAGGAGAGGCCCTTTGAACCCCCCTAAGTACACCTGGATCATCCCGATGTTGAGAATCTCCCGATGAGAGAATCTTAATTCTAGCTCCTAGACCATAGAGACTTTCAGAAGAACAACTTTTGGGATTTTTTTTACCTTATAAATGAGTACTCTGGGATCAAAAGTTCAAATGCAAAGGTATGGAAGATACTATATTATTCTTGTAAATGTCCCTCTTAGTTCCCTGTTGCAGATTTTTTTTTTTTTTTGCATTATATACCTGTAGTTTCCAATCATATGTTCGGAAAACAGAGCCTTAAAAACAGTAAATAAGCCTGTAGGGCTCTGTTAGGTCTGAACTGTGAAGGGTGGCAGGCCTCAAATGCATTTTGTACAGCCGGACACTTCCATGGAGATGCTTCATAAAAGTGAACTTCCAGAACTGGGTAAGTGGATGGATTTTTGTTTTTTATTTTTGAAAACGTATCTTATAAGGTGTGGGAATAGAAATGTTGTTTTTGCAGAGTTACATTGTTTAGAGGAAAGGAATGTGGTATTGAGATATGCTTACAGTGATAAGAAAACTTAGCAGGCGACCTTGTAAAATGCAGACAACCAGACTCAGAGCAAATAGGTGAAAATCACGGTGCTAAGTCAAGTCAGATAAGTGAAGAAACATTACTTTAAACAGTAAAAATGTCAAAAGAAATTTGAAATTTAACAGGCTGGCAACTGAAGGTCATGCATTGTCTCTGAAGCATCAGATAGATTGTGAACCTGGATTACCCACGCAGTGGGGAAACAGGGGAGGGTCCTGTCATCAAAAAGTATATAAACTTTGTTTTGGAACTAGTAGGCGCGCTCCTGCTTGTGGGGCGCCCGCCATTGCCATCGCGAATAAATTACTACTTCACTGAGATCCTCGCCTGAGCCTGTTATTGGCTACGGAGTGTTTCTCACAAAGGTGATCATGAACACTCAGCGCCTCGCCTAAAAGGCCCGGAGAAATTATCGATCGCTTCCTTACCGTCACCTTGGTTATTGAAAAGGCAAAAAGGAGGAGGAAAGACCGAGGAGGATTGAATGCCTGCCACCAGGAGTCACGGAGGACTCAGCACCCCGGGCGAGCCGGGGCTGCGGGCGGCCTGGCCCCGCTCCGGGGCCGTGAGGACCGGTCCGGCCCCGGAGCGGAGGGGGCTGGAGGCCGCCAGGGACGAGCCTGAGGAGCCAGAAGGGCACGGGGAGGACAAACGGGGAGGGACTCGGGGCCCAAGCCTCCGAAAAGCCCAGGGTTGCAAGAGACGCCTGGGAAGGATAAGAAAAGGGTCGGGGAGTTCAGCTAAATGCAAAGAAAAAGTGTAAATAACCCCCTGTTGTTCTGAAGCTTCCTGATGTCCACTGTTCCTTAAGCCCTGAACCATTCCCTCCTGAGACATCCGTTCTGTCATGCAAATGTTCCCAAGTGGAAAATAATGCGAAATTAAAGAGCTGTTGAAGACTCTTCTGCCTTCATGGTGTTGTCAGAAGGGTTAATTGTTCTGATTGTTTTTATCAGCATTTTAGACCACGTCAATGTCTGATTTTTATCCATATCAACACATATTGATACGTAATTAACGGTATTGATATGTAATTGACGGTTGCTATTATAAACGTGCAGTACAACACACGCCGTCTTTTCCATGGGGTTTTGTGACATTTAAGTAGCTGTATAAGACTAAAACTGCTCTAACTTAGGTAACTGGCCTGCTCTTTTCTCCAAGACCTAATTGTGCATTACAACCATGTGACCAGCTCTGTTCTTCCATGGGCTTTGTATCAGTGATTTCAAACAGCAGACTTTACGAGTTTCTCCGTACAGGCAGTGAAACAGATTCGAATACATTGTCTGAGCTTCTTGAGCCAGCTCGGCTCTGTCCAGGCAGCCTTTATTTGCCTGCGGTGCTGTTAGACTGGTCTTGTGCAGAGCACAGCAAGAGCTGTTCTATCCAAGGAACTATTCTGATGTGTAGAAAGACTGGGGATATCTCATTCCTATGGTAATGATCTCTTTTCTGTGAGGAATGATTTATTTTTTTTAATAGTCTTTCTGTGATACAAGGTTATAAGAAAAAACAACAACAACAAAACACAGAACAACAACAAAAAACCACTGGCATCGCAGTGGTTGCTACTTGCTGCAAAAGGAAAAGTGAATGCACACAAGAGAAGTATGCATTTCTTCATGTCTCTGATGCTGCACAATGGTAGTGCACATGTTTGTGTTTGTCAAAAATAAACAGAATTAACTTTTTGGTTAAAGTTCAACATCATTTTTTACAAGGAATATTTTTGAAACCTCTCTGATGGAAGCAGGAGGAGGGGTCATGAAGTACAAGTAAATTGCATCCACAAAATTATAGTAATAGTAATAAAGAGTAATAGTAATAAAAACGATAATGCAGCAGATGACTTCCAGAGGTTGTTTTGAACCTATGTAGGCCTCTGTTTCTGTGACCCCTGTTGCCAAGCACAGAGCTGCTCTGCTCTTTATGTTTCTTCTCTCCTTGTATGTATGTGAACAAGAGGCATTCCCAGATGGATTCCTCTCTACTTCCAGGCATTTTATGCAGTGAGATTTGTGTCATGTCTTGAGTTGCCCTGTGTTTAGATACAGCACAACCTAGAGATCACATTTTTGGTGCTGAGGACTCCATATTTTCATTTAAAATCTGAACTAGTCATATTTTCATTATTGATTAAAAGCATTAAATCAAAGTATAAATAAGTCCAAATATTTTTCAATTCCTCCTGCTAATAATTTCTCTCTTAATGCTAGTTATTTTGAAATATACTCTTTCTTCATAAAACTGGAAAACAAAGACTCTGAGAAAGTGGCTAGACTAAAATATCAATAATTGTCACTATTTTTAGTAATAAATAGTCTCTGGCTACTAGGACAAACAACATGATAAGTAGGTGACCAAATATTAACTTACTCAAAAACAAACAAACAAACAAACAAAAAACATAAAGTAGTATAAAATTGTTATATCAGGCATGTGTTTTGTTCTGGTTTTGGATCAGGTTTATGACATCAATCATTTTATTTATCATTTCTGAAATTTATTCCAATTTTTTTTTTTTGCCCCATCAAGTAATCAGAGAAGCATAGTTTTTCGAGGTGGTTTATTTACCTTTAGCAAAAAAAAAAAAAAAAAAAGTATATTTTTATTTCATTTTGCTTAACCCATAATGTTTGATAAATATAAAATTTACTGAGGGTACACTGATCTAGAGAAGGTATGTATTTCCCAAAATGCTACAAACTCTACTAGTCTATTGAAAAGAAAAAAAAAAAAAAGACAATGGCATTTTTTGACTGTTTAGATTGTTCTCTTTACAGATCATTGTGGCTGATAATGCACTACAGGCATAAATAACAGCATAACTCTGACCATTTCATATAGAAGGTACTAATTAAAAAAAAAAAAAAAGTATTTTTACAACGTTCGTGTAAACAAAAATAAATATACCCTGTATTTCTGTTGCTGTGAATAGAGAGATGTTTTGAAGACAGGCACAGACAGTAGAAAAAATACAGTATAAATGACCTGATTAAAGATCACGGTTTATAGCAATTCCTAGGATGATGTATTTGAAGATTATGCCACACTACAGTTCCTGGGCAATATAATCTGAGAAAAATGTCTCATATAAGACAAAGAAAATTACTTTGAACTGAATAGTAAATATTAAATGACATGAAAGATGTATGAATGCACTATCATGTGATTTTATATTCACGCTATTGTCTTGATTAATTTTCACTGTTCATACTCCTGTGGAATTAAATCGTTATGTTTGCTATTCTTGCCTAGCCTAAATCCTACTGCTACTGCTGGTAGTGAAAAAGCAAGTACACATTTTCCACAGTAGTTGGGTTTTGTCTCAGTGACTTGGGTCTCAGCACTAGGATACAATTTCTGAAAGAAAGAACAATTTCTGGATTACAGATAGATCTGAGGATGCATGTGTGCAGATTGAAATGCTTCGTTCACATTATAGCCCAACAACGTTTCTGAGATTTAAATATTGTACAAAGATTGGAAGAAGAAATCATAAACAATAGTTTATCTGGAGACAAATTTCAGGACTCTAGCAAGAACTGCACATACTGAAACAGTTTTATTGCATATACTGAACAGTCTTAAAATAGAGTAAACAGAGAGAATGATCACACAAAATTTATGTGAAAGCTACATAGATAAAGCAGCCAGCATACAAAAACAGGAAAAGTTGTAATAATGCTTGTGGATTCCCGAGTTAGTGGGACAAAATGCACCACTGGGCTCCTGTGGTAGGTGCAGTTTAAACTAAGCTTTTTATTTATTTATTTAAGGACAACAGGAATGAATTTGACTTTTACATAACTGATTACTAAGAATAATAGCTTCTGCCAAATTGTTCCAATGATCATCACCACTGTCAAAATATGAGCGCTTTTAGATTCTTTCTAAATTCCCTCTCTAGCCACCCACGTATTCCGTTACATAAGAACCTAGAGACTGGAACACAACATTCATCTTTTTAAGTACTGGATGCATAGAGAGGCACAGAAGATTAAAACTATTAAATTAAAATTAGCTTATACTAAGGCGCTTTGAGAGCAGATCTCCAGACACAGTTTGAAACTGCAGAACAGGGAATGTGGAGGGCTCTTACCATCAGATGTCCAAAATCCAATCCAAGATGTCCCCCATCAGCCTTCAAGCTGAAATTAATTCCTGTACATTAGCAACCAACGTAACAGACTTAGTGCCTGCCTCTGTACCAGCACTACCAGACAACAGTCAGTCAGTACCAGAAAGCTTGACTTTGCGGTTAGGCAGTCCTTGTATGGGGCCAAGTATGTTGATGAGGCCACAAATTAACATTTGGAATTAAGGATTATTCAGATCCATTTGGGGAAGAGGATTATTATGGCTCAGATCCGCATTTGCAGAAATGTCTAATTACCCAAGAATGTATATGATGGGGAAAATCAGAAAAACAGCGATTTGGGGAATGAAAGTCTTCAGGGCTACTCAGTAACTACAATAAGCTCATGATACACAGTGCCTAGTTTTGAAGTTCTTAATCATTTCAATATAACTGAGATATAAATGTAGGAAACTTGAAGTACATATGAAATAATATTCATGTTAATTTGGCATTTGTAAGGGGAATATTCTCTCCTAAAGATGTAGGGAGAAGCCGTGCAAACTACTGCAAAATTCACACGTACAGAAGAAAATTGCTGAAGGTAAGTAACTTTTAGAAAAAAACTTGTGTTTTATTAACCATTATATGCTTTTTTAGACGTGGAGGCTAGTAACAGCGATTAACAGCTTATCAAGAAAAAATTGGTTATTATTTAAGTTTTTACATTACAGTGCACTGTGGTCACCTGCTTTAGTTCAACTCTGAAAATATATACGGACTGAGGCACCCTCAAGCGGTAGACGTCGTTACAGCAGCTACAACACTGTACGCAGTTTCCATAAAGCAAATTGAATTCTCTCTCAAGACCTAATAATCTACGCAAACGTTTTCCTTACATTTGCAGCAGATACATGAAAACTGGAGGAAAACTGAAACAGGACATTGAGCAGGATGCATTGTACAATAAATACGTAATTTTAAAAACAAAAGTGAAAAAGTAAACGGTTGAGTTTCACCTAGGAAAAAAAAATTATTTCCATCACAATAAAGACATTACTGGCACATACTTAGTTTTCATTTCCTGATACACAGAATTGGCTAGGAATTTTTTACCATAATTAGTTTTAACTGTAACTTCAGATGACCCTTTAAAGTAAGATCACACTAAATAACATCTTGAATCGTCCTCCCCACCCCCCTCCCTATGTGACTATGCAGCCCTTTTATTGAAAAGGTGGGTGGCTCTTAAAAGAGCCTTTGGGTCGAGCAGGTCTGGCACAGGCTGCGGAGGCAGCTTACTTGGAGCTGGTGTACTTGGTGACCGCCTTGGTGCCCTCGGACACGGCATGCTTGGCCAGCTCGCCGGGCAGCAACAGCCGCACGGCCGTCTGGATCTCCCGCGACGTGATGGTCGAGCGCTTGTTGTAGTGCGCCAGGCGCGACGCCTCGCCGGCGATGCGCTCGAAGATGTCGTTGACGAACGAGTTCATGATGCCCATGGCCTTGGACGAGATGCCCGTGTCGGGGTGCACCTGCTTCAGCACCTTGTACACGTAGATCGAGTAGCTCTCCTTGCGGCTCTTCTTGCGCTTCTTGTCGCCCTTCTTCTGGGTCTTGGTGACGGCTTTCTTGGAGCCCTTCTTGGGCGCGGGCGCAGACTTGGCCGGCTCAGGCATTGCTCGCGGCGGGACTGTCTCAGAGAGCGACTTCCACTCAGCTGACAACAGGAAGACGAACGTGGGGGAAGCGCCCGCGGGCCATTTATTTATAGCTCCCCTATGCAAATGAGAAGCATTCCTTTTGCCTCCTCTCATTGGTCAGTACGCGACCGCGCGTCATCCCTCCTCTACAGCCGTCTTTTATTGGTCCGAACTGGATTCGGCCCCTCATTGGCTGCCCGGCGAAGCCCGACATGCCAGCCTATCAGCGCGGGGGCTCTGGTCATAGAGGGGGTATAGCTGAGCGCCGCCGGCTGCGCGCTGCGTTCCCCTGCTGGGTGCTGTGCGGAGCGGCTCGCTGTCATGTCCGGGCGCGGGAAGCAGGGCGGGAAGGCGCGGGCCAAGGCCAAGTCGCGCTCGTCGCGGGCCGGGCTGCAGTTCCCCGTGGGCCGCGTGCACCGGCTGCTGCGCAAGGGCAACTACGCGGAGCGGGTGGGCGCCGGCGCCCCGGTGTACCTGGCGGCCGTGCTGGAGTACCTGACGGCCGAGATCCTGGAGCTGGCGGGCAACGCGGCCCGCGACAACAAGAAGACGCGCATCATCCCCCGCCACCTGCAGCTGGCCATCCGCAACGACGAGGAGCTCAACAAGCTGCTGGGCAAGGTCACCATCGCGCAGGGCGGGGTGCTGCCCAACATCCAGGCCGTGCTGCTGCCCAAGAAGACCGACAGCCACAAGGCCAAGGCCAAGTGAATGCAACAGGAAGGCTGCACGTTGTCACACCTCGAGATGATAATTAAAAGGCTCTTTTCAGAGCCACCCACAATATCATAGAAGAGCTCAGGAATCCATAATACACTTATGCAGTTGCATGAACTACTCAAGCCATGCTGTGTTGTTTTTTTTTCATATGTTTATTATCGGTATTTTTGTTTGGGCCATAGTAGCAACGCTTTCCATGTTTTTGTTAACAAAGTCGTGCCATAATGAAACAAGCTCCTCCAGGGACGAGACAGAATACGTTTAATTCTCAAACCGCAGAAAGCGAGAACAACCCATTTCGGTGTTAAGTCCCGCCTCCGTCCCCCTTCCGCGTTTTCCTTCCTTACGGGCGGCAGCAGCCGCCGCACCAGCCGCGATCTTCTCCGGGGAAGCGCGCGGGGAGGGGGAAGGGGGCAGCGGGCTGGGCTCGGCGCTGGCCAATCCTTGGTCAGGGCGGGCTTTTCCAATACCTAAAGCTTCTTTTCTTTCTCAAAGAGGACAAAAGGAATTGGAGAGCTCAGGGCTGTTTTCGGGGTGGTAAGAAAAGCCTCCCCTCCTCCCCCCGTAGTACACAAAGCATTTAAGGAGGCACCTTAAGAAATAATACAATACATTAGACATGGCTCAGTAGTAGCGTGCCTGGCAAATCCATTACTTTTGTTACAAAATATATACTTAAAAAAAGTTACATCCGATTTTTATCAAATCATTATAAAACATTTCGTCATGGCAGTCAAAACAATTACTCGGCAAAAGATGCAAAAGTCTACACTTCCCTAAAGCCGCCGCGCTATACCGTGCTCGTTAGGGTTCGCTTCAGAAATCGCAGGGGAAAAAGACAATTGACCTCTGACGACTTACGAATTTCTGGATCCTTGCTGCAGGTGACTGACGACCTCGGTGCCTCAGCTCCTTTAGGGAAAGTGTGGGTGGCTCTTAAAAGAGCCGTTGGATAACAAAATATGTACAGCAGGACTCTTCGAGGATAATTTACTTCTTCTTGGGCGCCGCCTTCTTTGCCTTGGCTGCTTTCGGCTTGGCTGCCTTGGGCTTGGCAGCTTTAGGCTTCACCGCCTTTGCTTTAGCCGGGCTCTTTGCTGCCTTCTTGGGGCGGCCAGCCTTGGCGGTCTTCTTGGGGCTCTTGGCTGCTTTCTTGGTGGCAGCGGCCGCCGGCTTCTTGGCTTTCTTGGGGCTCTTCTTCACCGCCGCCTTCTTGGGCTTCTTGGCGGCGCTGGCGGGCTTCTTGGCCGCCGGCTTCTTGGGCTTGGCCGCGGCCGCCCGCTTCTTGGGCGCCTTCTCCTTCACCTCGCCGGGCTTCTTGCTGAGGCGGAAGGAGCCGGAGGCGCCGGTGCCCTTGGTCTGCACCAGGGTGCCCTTGCCGACGAGGCTCTTGAGCCCCAGCTTGATGCGGCTGTTGTTCTTCTCCACGTCGTAGCCGCCGGCGGCCAGCGCCTTCTTGAGCGCGGCGAGGGAGAGCCCCTTGCGCTCCTTGGAGGCGGCCACGGCCTTGGTGATCAGCTCGGTGACGCTGGGGCCCGCGGGCTTGCGCGCCTTGGAGCCGCCCGCCGCCTTCTTCGGCTTCTTGCCGGCGGCCTTGGCGCTGGGCGCGGGCGCATCGGGAGCGGCGGCGGGAGCGGTCTCGGACATCGCGGCGGCGTCCTCTGCGGAGCAGGCGAACACAATTGGGCTGGCGCGGGTCAGATGCTCGTATTTTTAGAGAGGAGCCGCGCGGTGATTGGTGCGTTGCAGAGCCCGCCCCGCTGCACGGCCGGGGAGCCCTTCGGTGTGCTCGATTTGTGTTTCTTTGGACTAACAAAAGTGTATTTTCCTCGGAATTTCTGCCACCAAATCGCCCCATCTCCCCGGGGAGGGAGGAGAAGACCAGGTACTTGCGTTCGGGAGAGTTTCCAGCCGCGGACACGCGTCCTGAGATAAAGGAGAAGCCAGAAATCCCGTGTGCTGCTGCTGGAGAGACCTCTGAAGAGAGAAACTTTTGTTTTTCATTGCAAATTAAAAATTTCCTTTCGACATAAATGTCACGGCAACGGCTATATCTGATTCTTTAGAGGGTTTTCTTGTGGTCTAAACTGAAATCTGCCGATTTAAAGCTATTTTGACTGTTTAAATTGATTTTGAAGAGGAGGAAGTAACACAGACTCCTCTTTCAGCTCTGAATATGGATTAAGAACCGGTTCCTTTGACCATGTGTTTTACCTCCTAAAACGCTAAAGTCTATTGAAATAGTGTCTCATACTACCTCCTATTGCACTTATTATACAGCCATAAGCAATTTGTTAATGTTTGGAAATCTATGAACATGTAGTTGTTTTATTTTGTCTTCTTGGAATTTCACTAGAAGGGAGGCAAAGTTACCCTGCTGCCTTGTGCTTTTTTTCCTTTGTTTGTTTTCCATATGAATTTCTGTACTAATTATTAAGTTGATCAAGATTATTTTTTTTCACATTGCATTTCTATTTCAAGTAACTCAATACCCTACACTACAAAACAGCAGCATTCTAACAGAAAGCAATCTCCTAAACTTCTGGTTATTTTTATTGATATTACTTTTGTGTCTCTAGTAATTTAAGATGTGGAGGACCTAACGTAGCAGTTATGTAGTTAGTTTCTTACTGCCCAGAAAGCATTATCTTGTTGTGTATTTTTTGTAATAGCTGGATAATTTAAAACCACATTACTTTTTTTTTTTTCTGTACCTCTCAGATAGTGTATTGAAACAAAGGTTTCAACAAAGCCAATGCTGAATCTTCTAACCGTTCAAAAAAGAAAAAAGAAAAAAAAAGCCCACTTAATTCTTTCTTAGGCATTTTACAGTCATAGAAATGAGGAACTGCTTTCCTGACAAGAACTCATTGTGATAACCTGGGTTTCAATTAGGGGAGTGGTAGGCCATAGTTCATTCCTAAAGAACCAGGAAGAATTCAATCAATATTGATATCTGGTTGAAGATCATGTAGTCTGCTGAAAACAGGATGGAGTTCTGGAATAATACTACTGAATCTGTACCTGGTTATAAAGAAGCATATTATCCATTGCCTTTTAATAGTTATTTAAGAATCACACAAATATTACACTTAAACCTAGCTTTCTCATTTTCTTTGATATCACCAGATATAGCACAGATGTAAACACAATTTATGCAGATATTGGCAACCAAAATTTCAAATTGTATGAATGCTTAGCTTTAGATAAGTGTAATTCTATTTCCACATTTTTTTTTTCATTTACAGCTGCTGCTTTGTCAACACTAAACATGAATACAACATGAAAACATTAGTTTTCTGTTAAATTGGGTTTCACTGATTACAAAACCAAATACTATAAAGAGAAGCAATGCAACCTGCATCCTAGAAGACAAAACTATAAGGAAAAAGATGGCAGGAAAAGTGCACTTGAGCTCTGTAATGTTACAAGAGGAAGGTGATAGAAGGAGGTATCTCATTGGAGCTTTCTGGATCTTGTTTGTAAAAATTATGCAGCACAAGAGAAGGATATGAGAATGAAATATATCGGAGTGAATGTGGATATTGAAGACATACCTCCATCAGTTACCAAAATTGCACTAAAATAAGATTTTTTTGTTAGCTCATTTTCTACATGTGCTCATAAACCAATGAATGAGATGTTCCAGTGACTTGATTACATAGGGCAATATCTAGCAGGGCTTGGAGATGACATTTAACAGCTGCCAAGAGACTTCACAGCACATAAGACAGAAGAAAGGTGTAGATCATGTATGACATGCCTGCAGCATGAAAACTGTTCCTGCCCAATCTTGTTATTTTGAACTCATATGCATTAACTTAAGTAAGCTTCACTGAAGGAGACTTAAATACTGCACCCCTCAGTTGTGGCTTCACAAGGTGTTGATTTGTGTTTATTGGGGGCTGAAACCGAAGTGGCTAAGATGGTCACTGTCCCAGTTGTCTGCCTAGCCTTTCTCCCAGCACTTGCTACCCTCTCCCTTTCCTAGAAGGGCCAGCTAATAATATGGGTAGGAGCTTCTGATCTACAACAGTTACAGCTTGCCACTTTAAAATAAACTGAAGTAACTTCAGAAATTTCGTGACGTGGGGATAACACTAGGTTCTGCTCTTCCTTTTCTAGTGGCTCTCCAGCAAAGGTGGAAAATAATTTCAGCAACACAGAACTGTGTTTGGAGCATATCATCTCTACTTGAAAGAAATACATGCAGGACCAATATTGTGGAAAGTTATAATGCATTTGGGAGTTTGAAAAAGAGTTTCCTCCACAGTCAGAACACATAGGTAAGAAGGAACGGAGAAATGTAATCAGGCAAATAAAAAAGGTGATGAAGGATTCTAAAGGAAACAGGAATCACAGTTTCACCTCTAGGTGAGCAAGTGAGAAAAAGGAAAAAAAAATCTTATTTTATGCATGTTAGGCATTTTAGGCATATTTTGTTATAGAAAGACCTCAATAGGCCCCTACCTAAACTCTTGCCTGCAGTTTGGTTTTCCCAATAAGGAGAGTGGAGGGAGGTAGACTTCCTCATTCGTTAAAAAAGGAGGAGAATGACATCAGGATCTCCAGAGATGACTTTAGAGAGATCATCACTGTAATATCTCCTACATCTGAATGACTTCAATTCTTCTCACCTTGTGGGCAGCCCAGCAGGCCACACTACATCACAAACCTGTACATGATTGCAATCTGAGCACTACAAGTCACTTCCCTTCAGATGTCCAGTTCTGTCCAACTTTTGCATTTTTCTATTAAGACCTCTTGGTGTAAGCAAGGAGACACAAACCACAGCCAAGAGATGGTGCAGCACGTGAGAACTATCAAACATTCCCATCTCCAGTTTAGGACCTGCCAGTACTTGTTCCTCAGAATATGATCTCTGGGTTATATTTAGATATGTGTGCATTAGTGCAGGGTAACATGGCGGTTGTTCTCAAGGAATTTGGTTAGGAGGCATTAGCATGAGAGCTAGCCATGCAAACATGGTTCATGGGCTACTCCACCAGCTGTGGAAGAGTCCTGTGATGGATCTTTCTTAGACAGCTGGAGAAAGTACAGTGGGTATGCCCAAGCAGCACAGTCCCTTCCTTTCCTCCAAGCAACAGTTTCCAGAGATTTCAGTGAGGGTCTTTATGCTGTGTGCTGCACTCCTGTGTACATGTTCCTCAGGAATGAGGTGTAAATACTCCCTGCAACCGTGATTACACTCATATTACAACGTTACACCCATGTCTTACTTACCCTCAGTGACTTCATCTTTATCCGAGTTACAAATGTAATAACTCTTGTGATCCAACCAGCCAGCACAGTTTAACAGCTTTTTAACCCTTTGCTAAGCAATTTCAAAGTAGTACCTACCAAACTACAAACTCATTGCAGTTCTGCAAGTCTTTGCCTACATAACACCAGTGTTGCTTTTGCTGCTGATGCTGAGGAAGACTCCCAGGTGTAATGAAGCCATGCAGGGCTTTTTAAGCCAGCATAGGGCCAAGCATCTGTAGTGGGCAGGACAAGTAGGGTAGGGCAGTGGGTGACTGTCTCTGTAGACTCAGCTTTCTGGAATGTTGCACACTCCTCCCTGTACTCTTGGTTAAGGGATGGGGCACTCATTGAGGCCTCCCTGCATTGACATTGCTATGCCGTGTCATTTTGGAACTGAAAACCTAGTCTTTAACCTGGATATGGCAATAGTCAGAGGAACAGGGAAGGATGCCCTTCTTGGTGGGCATTCCCCTTGGTCCGTAGGGGAAGGGAAAATGAGCAACAAAAATTTGGAGGCCAAAACCTTCCCCTGGAGCAAGGGGGAAAAAAGATGCACTTTGCTCCATACCACACAGGAGCCTCTACTGTTGACCAGGTTAAAATATTTTTACTTTCCTCACACATCGGCAGAGAAAAGGTCCTTGTTGTCAGTCAGCTATCAAAGAACAGTATTATTCATGTCTTAAAGAACTCTGGTCTTCCAAAACTAAAGTAAGGCATTTGACAGATGAACTTCTGGACCACCCTGACATGCTTTGAATGTAGTCATCAGCCATAGATCAAGAATGTCAGGCCCTGAGACAAGCTGCCTGTGATATGTAAGCAACAAGAACAGAAGCTCAACCATCCATTGCTACCCAAAGAACTCCTTTCCACCCAAATTGATGGTGCTTTTCTTTTACCCTCATTTCATAACAGTGAATGTCATTAAGAAAGCGTGCTACCACATTGTCCTTTCAGAGTAGTGTCTCCATCAGCACAGAGGCCTGACTTCTCAGACCAGTGAGCAGCCCACACAGAGCAATGCTGAGCAGCCTGCTCTTACTCCCCGCAACCCCTTGGCAATTCTTCACCTTTTCTGCTCTCCACCCTTTCCTACTTGTGTGCCTGTGCGCCCTGTGAATACTGCTAAGAGCAGCACTGGTGCTTGCAGGGAACAATATGATCAATCTACATGCTCCCCTACCTCCAGTTAGAGCTCTGTTTGACATTTCTCAGGGAACAAAGTGACTTTGGGTTGGTACATGCATACAGAGCAGGTCTGCAGTCCACCATCTCCCTGATGGATAACACCCCAGGTGCTGATGAGACAAGATGCAAGGTAGATTTGGGTTGCAACCCAACAACTACTTTTTTTTTTTTCTTTTTTTTTTGTCACACAGGCAGTGACAGTGGTACCCAAATACCATGTAGGCTTGGCACACACCATCACTGAGAGCCAAAGTGTTTTGTCATACACCTTGTGAAGTTGCTTTTGCTAAGGGATGCTGCCTTGCCAGTTTTACTGAGCTGTGGGGGTGAAACAGGTCCTTGTTCCAGATAGGGTGGTTTGTGCCATCATTCTAGAGCAGGAGTATCACAAGGCAGCATTAGGTTGGCAGTGACGTAGGCTTGCTGTCTTCCTTTAGAAAACAGCAAAAAAAGGTTTTGAAGAGATATTAAATTCTGTGCTTTAGCTTATGTTTTTTATAACACATGCTTCACAGCTGTGAAAGCTAAATGCTGGTGCCACAGACCCACTGTCCCTGGTTAGGAGGTCACCCAGACTGCCAGAGTCACTGCTAGGGCTGGCTGGTGCCCCTATTTCCCTACAATAAACAAGTGAGGGCCGTCACTCAGCACTCCTGCTATCAGACAGCTAGGAAGTCAGGAATTTGGCTTCACAGGCTGCTGAGTGAGATATGTGTGTACAGGGTGGGCACATTCAAGAAGTCCCGGCACTTTATTTTTTCATGTATTTTGCCTGCAACCTGCCATGTGTATGCTAGTCTGAGGAAGTAGTTAAGTAGCTAAGTGTATTAAAGTCTAAACTTTGGCCTTCCTGATACAGGTTTTTTTTGTTTGTTTGTTTTGTTTCTTACATGCTGAAAATGTAATGAATCTTTTGTTGATTTGTACATGAAATAAAGAGCAGAATAATAAGCTTAACTAGTGTGTTGTTTAAATTTAGAAGTCTGTAACACCTTCCATTTAACTATAAGGTTTAAAGACCAGGAAACAAAGCCAGCACTGAGCAGCTATGGGCAGGGATCAGCCTCTGTCCAGCTCTATAGAGGTAGCAAGTGAAGAGAAGCCAGGTGGATTTTGGGGTTTGTGGATTTACCCAAACTGCAATAGGAGGCCCTTACAAGGAAGGAAAATTCATAGTTCCCATAATTCAAGTCTGTTGAGAGAAGGGTCTGCTCATTATTTGAGTAATTCTAATACCAACTGTCTAGACTTAATGCATATTCACTTAAATAAACATCTGCTGGTGGGAGGGGGGCAGGAAGAGAGAAAAAGAAAAAATGGAAGAAAAAAAAAGCAACAACCAACGAACCAAAAAACAAACACCCAAAAAACATAACAGTGTAGGATAAACATTTGTACCAAAACCTAAGTGGAGACAAAGGTGTAATCTCTACTTGTTCTTTAATTAATTCTTTAGGAGAAAAGAGGTTTTGGCTTCCTTGGGTGCATGGAAAGGCTTTCAAGGGTTACTGCTGTCAGCCACATCACTGTACAAAGCCAGAAATATTTGTTTGCTTTTGACACTGAAGAAAAAGTAAAGGATTCTTATACTTTAAAAATATTACTTTTTAGGTTTTTCTCTTTTTATTTTACAACATGTTTATTCTCTTAACATGGTGATTATTGAAAATGATTTTATCTCTTTTTTGTAACTTCCTTCCCACTAGGGTGACAAGACCACCTGGTTATGGCCTCTTCAGTGATGAGGGAGACATTTGCTCATGCTCAGATAAGGTCAGTATTAGGGACACATAAGATATAACTCTGGGAGGGGACAGAGGAGGAATACAAGGTGTAGTAGTTGAACTTGATTCTGCAGTTAGGGAATCCTGGATCCTAAGCAGGAAGAAATGAATGAGCAATATGACTGGGGCAGCCTTGAGATTCTGCTGCCCTTTGTAATGTATTCTAGATAGTGACTTGTTATCATAACACTGCAAGAACTGAGTCATTCACAAAAAACTGTCTTGTGGGCCAATATCCCATCTGTGACAGAGGCCAGTTAAATTTAAAATAAATAAATAAATAAATAAAGAGTATAAGAACACTATCTCACCAAAATGATCTCTTAACTCCTAATGATTTGTAGGCCAGAGGCACCGTGAGTCAGAGGGGATGTCTTTGAATTGGAGAACCCTCAATGGATTTTTTATCCAGTGTTTATTGACTTTCTCTGTATACAGCATCTCTCATTTCTCTTGCTCTAGGATATGATTTAGCATGACATATAATAAGAAGCTGAGGAACAGGGACATTGAAAGTGAGTGTGGGAGATGAGGAAACAGTTGATGGACATGTATACTAAGTGGGATTTATCTATTTCTTTGAGAAGGATCCCGTTTATATGCAGTTAAGTGACCTGTCTTTATGTGTTTGCAAAAAGCTGGAAAATGTACTTTCTATGGTGCAGATGAAGTGGGACAAAGTGGCAACCAGCACAGTAGGAAGGCTAAACACCCTTTCTTGTGGCTGAGGAGAGGTAAAGAGAATATGTCTACTGGGGAGGGAACGACAAGTAATTTGACAGGACAGAGGAAAAAATCAGAAGCCTTCAAAGCCAGGCAGAGAGATTCCTGTATAAAATATCTGAGCTGAAAGGTGCTCGGAAAGAATTACCTCATCATTATATTTTTAGATCCCATCACTTGCACAGACCTTCCCTCCTGGAGTCACCATGACTGAGACAGAGCCAATGCCAATGCCAGCTAGAGAAAGGCTTGTCAGAGTTCCCAGAGCCTTTCATCTTGACAGGCTTTCCTCTGTCTCTGGATAATGAGGTGTGTATCAGGATTGTACTCACACTCTCCATACTGGAATTATGCAAATCTTACACCCCCAGAGGGCTTTGAGCTACTGAAAGGAGCCCTGCAAGGACAGCCAGCAGAAACTGAGGTATAGCTTTAACTATTGTGATGACTGATTTTCAGTCATGAGGTTGTATCACAGCAACAAATACATATTACATGAAAAGAAAAAGAAATAAATAAAAAAAGTACCTATCCACTCAGAATGATGTCAGATCTTTGCAGTCATGGAGGTACACATGCACGTAGCTGAAGTAGTCACTTTTGTTGTGCATTTGATGTGCATGACTAATTTTCATCCAATTAGTAGCAGTGATCTAGATGGATGTATAATCCTTTTTAAGCATGACCAGGATATTTGTGACTTAATCTTCAGCAACACTCCAGACACAGGAGAGAAAAAAAGGATCAACTCCAGCTCCATGCTGATAAAGCCCATCATGGACTCGACAGCAATACCACAGTCTGAGAGTCAGGCATAGCCAGCTTCTACAACAAGATGCACACTTTTCTCTAACCTGAGGTGAAGGCATAGAAATGGCTTTCTTAATGGCCTGTAGCACAAAACAGATGCTAGCATAAGGCCATGGAGGTGACCCATCACATCTTACATTTAGCAGCCAGTGCTCAGCACTACCATTGAGTTCTTGCAATATGACCTCAGAAGTACTGAGACATGGTTCAAATCTTAGCAACAGCAGTTGTCAGCAACACACACACAATTTGCTTGTTTCAAAAAGTGGATAACATGGGTCTTTGACTAATTCATGGTTGTGCAGAGGTGAGCTAAGATTTTTTTTTTTCCCATCTGGAAATTGATTCTATTTCTTACTTGTGCTTAAGTTAGTTCTCAGGCTCATGTATCAAATAGCATAGTCACTTATATAAGGAAATGGGTTATTTATGATGCAGAGAAATATCTTGGAATGAATGACAAAAGGCTTTCTTGAACTTACAACAATGGACTGGGGGAAAATGGATTTCCTACAGTTGCCTAGTGCAGCATGCAGGGTGTTTTGAATGCAATATTTCAGAGAAGCTATCACCTGGAAACACAGTAACCCAGTGACATCCCAGCTTCTGCTCTCAAGAGCAGTCCCCAAGAATCTTGTAAACATGACAGAAAGAAGCCACTGGAAGTGGCAATGATAATTCTAAATTCAAGGGTGCTCCAGGGGATATTGGGAGACACGCTGTGTGCATTATCCCAGCCACAAACTTTATTACATGCTACCTTCATTTATGAATTGAGGAGAGTGTAGGACTAGATTTAGAGATTTGCAGGGACAAAAAAACAAACTTCAGAGTGAGTAGCATGCATGGTAAGCATGTAACCAAATTAGTGGACAGGTATTTTAAGCTAGAAAACTGTATCTGGTTATTACACTTACTAATAAATGCATGATCTCTGTAGGTAAAATTCAGATATTTGCTTCCAGGTGCATGAAAACTGATTGCTTTCACACAACTGATTGCCACTCAAGTACTCCTTGGCTTACCAAGTATCCTGTGTGTCAAACAGCCCAACTAACAGCAAATAAGAGAAAATTGTAATTGTATTAATTTTAATATTAATGTATATTAATATTAAATTATAAATGTTTATTTTATAAACAAATATGTAAAATAACAAAATAATATCGGAGAAGCGTATGCAGTCACGCTCGGCCCCGAAGAGAAAGAAGCAGGAGCGCCACCGCCCCGCCCGGAGCCGCCAGGGGACCAGGGGGGGCGCGGCCGAGGCGGGGCCGAGGCCGGGGCCGGGGCTGCGGCGGGGCCCCGGGAGGTGCCCGAGAGCGGCGGCGGAGGGCGGAGGGCGGAGGGCGAAGGCCCCGCCCCGCCGCGCCCCGGCCGCAGGAGGGGACGCGCCGCCGGGACCGCCCCCGCCTCGCGCCCGCCCCTGCTTCCAATCAGGTCGGCTCCCCCGCTATAAAGGGCGCGGCGCGGCAGCGGGCCGCTCACAGCTCGGCTCAGGCAGCAGCAGCGGCACCATGTCCGGCAGAGGCAAGGGCGGGAAGGGGCTCGGCAAGGGGGGCGCCAAGCGGCACCGCAAGGTGCTGCGCGACAACATCCAGGGCATCACCAAGCCGGCCATCCGGCGCCTGGCGCGGCGCGGCGGCGTCAAGCGCATCTCGGGGACTCATCTACGAGGAGACGCGCGGCGTGCTCAAGGTCTTCCTGGAGAACGTGATCCGCGACGCCGTCACCTACACCGAGCACGCCAAGCGCAAGACGGTCACGGCCATGGACGTGGTCTACGCCCTCAAGCGCCAGGGACGCACCCTCTACGGCTTCGGCGGCTAAAGCGCGCAGCCAGCTGCTTCTCGGACCCTCTCGACACCCCAAAGGCTCTTTTAAGAGCCGCCCACCTTCTCTTCAGAAAGAGCTGTATCGCGTTTGCTCGCTTTCTTGAAGCTGTTTCTGTACAGAAGTATCTTTCAGCTAATTTCTTGCCCGCCCCACTAAGGTTTCGGTGCCTAGCACCGTATCGTATGGTGGTGCTTGAGGCTGTCTCGCAGTGCTCTGTTATGTAATTCCCTTCCCACTTCCCTTGCTGCTCCTCGCGTTTAGCAGCCGCTTCCGGGAGGAACTGGTTGGGCTGCTCGTTAACTGAGCGCTGGACGAGCCGGTGGCCCTTCCGAGGGAGGCGCCCACCGCTACTAAGAGCAAGCTGCAATGTGCTGGGCGCAGGCTCCGATCCTCCCAGGGCTGTAGCCACGTCCTGAAAAAGCCGCGAGCGAAGGGGGCCCGAGCGAGCAAGGGGGGAGGGAAGTATCCGCCTCGTCAAGCACCCTGAGGGCAGGGGGGAGGCCACTCTTCCCTCCCAGTGACCCCAGCCCGCAGAAAAAAAAGCGCAGCGACCACGCGCGCTGGGCTCGCTCTAGGAGGCGGAGCGCCCTCACCCTTTGAAAAGCCCGCGCGGGGCAGCCACAGGCTCCAGCCGCTCCCGCGCCGCGCCACGGGCGGCTCTACTCGAGCCCGGCTCAGCCGCAGCTGGCGGTGCCTGGGCTCAGAGCGCTGCTCCGGGGTGAGTGCGGGGCCTACGAGGAAGGGCCGAGGCTGCCCGGCCGCAACCGAGCTCTCCTATGCAGAGCCTGGGTTTTAAGAGCAGGGCAAGACTCCCGCACGCTTCTAGTCAGAAGGGCGGGCGTACGCCTCCCTCCTCTCTGTCCCTCTTCTACAGGAGCGTCTCAAGCTCTTTCTCGAGGCTGTGGGTGGCTCTGAAAAGAGCCTTTGGGTTTCAGTGGTGCGCTCCGGGCCTGTCTCCGGGGCCGCTTTACTTGCTCTTTGCCTTGTGGCTTTCCGTCTTCTTGGGCAGCAGCACGGCCTGGATGTTGGGCAGCACCCCGCCCTGCGCGATGGTGACCTTGCCCAGCAGCTTGTTGAGCTCCTCGTCGTTGCGGATGGCCAGCTGCAGGTGGCGGGGGATGATGCGCGTCTTCTTGTTGTCGCGGGCCGCGTTGCCCGCCAGCTCCAGGATCTCGGCCGTCAGGTACTCCAGCACGGCCGCCAGGTACACCGGGGCGCCGGCGCCCACCCGCTCCGCGTAGTTGCCCTTGCGCAGCAGCCGGTGCACGCGGCCCACGGGGAACTGCAGCCCGGCCCGCGACGAGCGCGACTTGGCCTTGGCCCGCGCCTTCCCGCCCTGCTTCCCGCGCCCGGACATCGCTGCTCGCTCTCTGCGCGCTGCACACACGCACCCGACGAGGAGCCCTCTCCGAGTGAATTACCCGCGCCCCGCGGCCCGCCCTTATATCCCTTCCCTTCGCGCGGCCCGCGCCTCCTGATAGGCCCAGGCGCACCCGGGGAGTGCGCAGCCAATGCCCGAGCGAATCTCGCCCTCACCAATCGCTCTCGGCAGCTCGACCGCCGAGGCGGGGAGGATGCAGAGAGGGAAAGGCAGATCTGGGTGTCTTTGGAGGGCTCTCAGAGGGCAGAGGGGTGGGGGGTCTGGCAGACCAAACGCGGTAAGCTTCAGTCGAATTCACAAAGATTAAAAGACTTTAAACAGCGCCTAGTCCTCTGATTAAAATTAAAGTATTATTATCACATCATCAGAAAAAAAAGAGAGTAGATTTTTTCACTTTAATTCCACTACACATTTCCTATTTTTTTTAATGGTATCTTTGATACCATTGTTTCCTGCCGTCTGATTTCTTTTTTACTGCATTTTTTCAAAAAGCTAAAGTAAGGCTTCCTAGAACTTAACGATAAACTAAAGCCTTTTTGCATGAAAACATCGATGCTGAAAACATACATTTTTTTTTCTGCGCAGGGTTAATAAAGAAATATACAGAAGGGAAAGTAAAATATATTTAAGTTTATGTAAAGAATCTTCAGGTAGTATGTGGATATATTCCTGAAACAGAACAACAAGTTGATACCGTGTATCAGAAATTATCCGTGTGACTAAGTACATGGAAAGAACAAAGACGGAACCAGGGGGTGGTCTTTTCCACAGGCGGTAAATTTAAAATTAGAATCCACCAATGAGATTCAGCGTGTATGTATCCGCCTATCAGAGCTGGGAACGCTGCTATATATACAGGCAGTGTGCGAACGCACTCTCACTGCCTTTTGCTGCTCTGCTTGCAGTAGCTGCTGTTAGCGATGGCGCGCACGAAGCAGACGGCGCGTAAGTCGACGGGCGGGAAAGCGCCCCGCAAGCAGCTGGCCACCAAGGCGGCCCGCAAGAGCGCGCCGGCCACGGGCGGCGTGAAGAAGCCGCACCGCTACCGGCCCGGCACGGTGGCGCTGCGCGAGATCCGCCGCTACCAGAAGTCGACGGAGCTGCTGATCCGCAAGCTGCCCTTCCAGCGGCTGGTGCGCGAGATCGCGCAGGACTTCAAGACCGACCTGCGCTTCCAGAGCTCGGCCGTGATGGCGCTGCAGGAGGCGAGCGAGGCCTACCTGGTGGGGCTCTTCGAGGACACCAACCTGTGCGCCATCCACGCCAAGCGCGTCACCATCATGCCCAAGGACATCCAGCTCGCCCGCCGCATCCGCGGGGAGCGTGCATAAGCAGATTTCAGTCACAAAAACTCAGTTTTCCAAGACAACTGTCATCATCCCAAAGGCTCTTTTAAGAGCCAATACATAAACCATAAAAGGAGCTGTGGCACTCTTTATTGGAATATACTTCTGCACTATACCTTACTTCAAGGTGTAGGTATCGGGCAAAGCAGATCATCCTTCTGAAAATCGTTTCTAAATTCTAAATTGTTATTAATAAGTACAAACAAGGAGATACCACGTTTCCTTTGCCGGATCTCCCCTCACCCGCTGAGAGGCACCCGCCCAGACATTTCTTCCTGCCCCCATTCTCAAATCCCCAGATTTTCCATCCACTCAGCCCCCCTCAGCGGCACAGATGCCGTAGGAAAAAGGAGCGGTGACAAAAGGGACGGAAGGACGGGGGCCGGTTCGGGAGCGGGCTGCAGCGGCTGGCGCCGAGTTTTCGCACCGCGATCGGAGCGGAGCCGCCCGGTGCGTCCCGCGGCGTCATTGGCTGGGCCGAGAAGGAGAGGTGGGGGGAAGGGTCGCTGCGCCGCCCCGATTGGTGAGGGCGAGATTCGCTCGGGCATTGGCTGCGCGCTCCCCGGGTGCGCCTGGGCCTATCAGGAGGCGCGGGCCGCGCGAAGGGAAGGGATATAAGGGCGGGCCGCGGGGCGCGGGTAATTCACTCGGAGAGGGCTCCTCGTCGGGTGCGTGTGTGCAGCGCGCAGAGAGCGAGCAGCGATGTCCGGGCGCGGGAAGCAGGGCGGGAAGGCGCGGGCCAAGGCCAAGTCGCGCTCGTCGCGGGCCGGGCTGCAGTTCCCCGTGGGCCGCGTGCACCGGCTGCTGCGCAAGGGCAACTACGCGGAGCGGGTGGGCGCCGGCGCCCCGGTGTACCTGGCGGCCGTGCTGGAGTACCTGACGGCCGAGATCCTGGAGCTGGCGGGCAACGCGGCCCGCGACAACAAGAAGACGCGCATCATCCCCCGCCACCTGCAGCTGGCCATCCGCAACGACGAGGAGCTCAACAAGCTGCTGGGCAAGGTCACCATCGCGCAGGGCGGGGTGCTGCCCAACATCCAGGCCGTGCTGCTGCCCAAGAAGACCGGAAAGCCACAAGGCAAAGAGCAAGTAAAGCGGCCCCGGAGACAGGCCCGGAGCGCACCACTGAAACCCAAAGGCTCTTTTCAGAGCCACCCACAGCCTCGAGAAAGAGCTTGAGACGCTCCTGTAGAAGAGGGACAGAGAGAGGAGAGGAGGCGTGCGCCCTCCCTTCTGACTAGAAGTGTGCGGGAGTCTTGCCCTGCTCTAAAGCCCAAGCTCTGCATGGGAGAGCTCGGTTGCGGCCGGGCAGCCTCGGCCCTTCCTCGTAGGCCCCGCACTCACCCCCGGAGCAGCGCTCTGAGCCCAGGCACCGCCAGCTGCGGCGAGCCGGGCTCGAGTAGAGCCGCCCGTGGCGCGGCGCGGGAGCGGCTGGAGCCTGTGGCTGCCCCGCGCGGGCTTTTCAAAGGGTGAGGGCGCTCCGCCTCCTAGAGCGAGCCCAGCGCGCGTGGTCGCTGCGCTTTTTTTTCTGCGGGCTGGGGTCACTGGGAGGGAAGAGTGGCCTCCCCCCTGCCCTCAGGGTGCTTGACGAGGCGGATACTTCCCTCCCCCCTTGCTCGCTCGGGCCCCCTTCGCTCGCGGCTTTTCCGGACGTGGCTACAGCCCTGGGAGGATCGGAGCCTGCGCCCAGCACATTGCAGCTTGCTCTTAGTAGCGGTGGGCGTCTCCCTCGGAAGGGCCACCGGCTCGTCCAGCGCTCAGTTAACGAGCAGCCCAACCAGTTCCTCCCGGAAGCGGCTACTAAACGCGAGGAGCAGCAAGGGAAGTGGGAAGGGAATTACATAACAGAGCACTGCGAGACAGCCTCAAGCACCACCATACGATACGGTGCTAGGCACCGAAACCTTAGTGGGGCGGGCAAGAATCAGTTGAAAGATACTTCTGTACAGGAACAGCTTCAAGAAAGCGAGCAAACGCGATACAGCTCTTTCTGAAGAGAAGGTGGGCGGCTCTTAAAAGAGCCTTTGGGGTGTCGAGAAGGTCCGAGAAGCAGCTGGCTGCGCGCTTTAGCCGCCGAAGCCGTAGAGGGTGCGTCCCTGGCGCTTGAGGGCGTAGACCACGTCCATGGCCGTGACCGTCTTGCGCTTGGCGTGCTCGGTGTAGGTGACGGCGTCGCGGATCACGTTCTCCAGGAAGACCTTGAGCACGCCGCGCGTCTCCTCGTAGATGAGTCCCCGAGATGCGCTTGACGCCGCCGCGCCGCGCCAGGCGCCGGATGGCCGGCTTGGTGATGCCCTGGATGTTGTCGCGCAGCACCTTGCGGTGCCGCTTGGCGCCCCCCTTGCCGAGCCCCTTCCCGCCCTTGCCTCTGCCGGACATGGTGCCGCTGCTGCTGCCTGAGCCGAGCTGTGAGCGGCCCGCTGCCGCGCCGCGGCCTTTATAGCGGGGGAGCCGACCTGATTGGAAGCAGGGGCGGGCGCGAGGCGGGGGCGGTCCCGGCGGCGCGTCCCCTCCTGCGGCCGGGGCGCGGCGGGGCGGGGCCTTCGCCCTCCGCCCTCCGCCCTCCGCCGCCGCTCTCGGGCACCTCCCGGGGCCCCGCCGCAGCCCCGGCCCCGGCCCCGCCTCGGCCGCGCCCCCCCAGGTCCCTGGCGGCTCCGGGCGGGGCGGTGGCGCTCCTGCTTCTTTCTCTCCGGGGCCGAGCTCGCCCCTGAGGTCGCTGTGTTCCCTCCGTTCTGCCTCACTGGACCGAGTCCCGCTGCGTCCCTGCGTAGGGGGCCGGGGACCGTGGCGGCCCCTCGGAGCGATCCATCGGGCACCGGCTCTCCCCAGGACAGCGGCTCCGAGCAATGCGGGAGCCCCGCTCTTCTGCCTCTGCCTGGCTTGTTGTCTTCTGCCATCTGCTGGGCATGAGTTCATTTTCATCAATAAATTCCGTGGCTTTTTAGATTTGACGTGAAAAATAAGTTCTGGAGCATGTATTGATATATTTATTTTTGTTTCTGCTGATCTTTTTTTTTTTCGTAATTATTATTTTTTTGTTTATTACTTCATTTGTCTCTCTGCATCACATCTTCTTCGTTATTGACATATCTACCCTTGGGTGTAAATTACCCTGTAGGTCTTGAGTATGTTTTTTTTTGTAAGATTGGTTGCTGTTCTTACAAATTTCTGATTTTTTTCTTCCTTTTTTGCATTGCAGAAAATCCCTGAACTTTTCATCTATAGTTCTTTCTGTACTGGGTACAGTATGCATGCAACAAAGATGACTATAGTGTAAAAACACTTGAACGGTATGTCCATATTTCTATTTTCCTGTTGGCCTTTTTTATTATGCATTTTGGTCCTACATATGTCCCAAACTCTTGTAAATACTAGTAGATGTAGAAATAAATAATATATTGTATAAATTTTAACTAATGTATTTCTAAAATATTTTATAAAAGAATAGGCCAACTATAGCAAATATCCTTTTAAGTACCTGTGTAAATTCTGGATGCATTTTTTGAAGATTTTCTTAATGATCACTGTTCCCTGTTCTCTTGAATTATCTGCAATTCTACTTTTCTTACAATACTCTTCTTAGCTTCACTTTCATAAATCATCAACATAGACTATTACTATAGAGACCAGAGAGGTTTTATTAGTGCAGGAATACTTTTATATGAGGGTGAAAATATTATTTATAGGTTGCAAACACAAAGTCAACTTCTTGTTAAGAGCAGAGTTGAAGATGTGAAACGTGATCATCAGATGTAAGATGAATGTCAAAAGAGTACACACAGAATCAATAAACAGTTGAAATCATTTCAAAAGGTCGGCCTTTTTCTTTGTTCTTGTTTATGTCCCTAAATTATTTCAACTATTGGAGCCTTAGAAAGCAGTATTTCATGCACATCTTATCCCATACCTTTCTGAAATATATTTCCACTCACTTATGTATCACCTTGCTACTGTTCCCTGCTGCCTCCACGTCAGTATATGCTGAAGTAGTCACCTGCCAATCTATTCATACATGCAAGGGTTAAAATCTTCACAAAATAGCTAAGCAGGAAGGGATCTATTTGAGATTACTGAAATTCACTGTCCCCTGAATTTTGGGGGATTATTCATGAATTCCAAGCTTCAAGAACTGGATGGAAGCTCTCTTGAAAGCTTTCCAAAATTCCAATATCAGGTCTCATAGTTGTGGTTACTAGAATTTAAGTAAATAGTTCTATAATGCAAATGATAATTTTAAGGTTTCATCAATCACGGTGTTAAAGGAGAAGAGGAGCTTCAAGAATTATTGGACAAATTTCAGTCTCTGTAGAGCAGAAACTTAGCAGAAGATCCAAATGACATTCTATGTTAATATAATAGAAAAATAAAGTCTTTTATGTTTTTATGTTGCAATTACATTTATTAATTTGTTTGTTTGTTTATTAAATAGTTAACCTAGAGCAGTGAGCTAATAGGCATTGAACCAGAGAGGCACTCCTTTTAGTGTAGAAATACCTAGGCTTGGGCTGTGGTAGGCCGCAAAGGAGCTTGACCAATTATACCATAGAAGGAATTAGGCTTACTGGTATCAGTGGTGTTGGGGAACTCCACATACTGCTTTTGCCACTTCTGGGGAAATAAAAGACATTCCAAGTACATTAGGATTTTCCCAAGCATCCTGGCTTTCCTCTACTATACTCAAACTTTGCTTGTGTCATAACTGGAGTTTCCAAAGGGCAATAACTGCTACCTGCCTGTGGGCAAGATGGCCCCATTCATGTCCTAACTCTGCAATTCTGGATGGAGTTCTAATCTGATATTTAAAAAAGTGCTCTAAGTCACCTCATTCTTCAGTCACCTTTGGGAATTTGAGAACTGAAAAACAATACTTTCTAGCCCATCCTTATTTCTAGACCTATACTGTTGACTAAGCAAAAATTGTTCCTTATTATCATTTCCTCTCTTGTGATGCTGGGTCCGCTTCAGCTGCAGATATTTGGTCTATTGCTTTATCATAAACTGTGCTTGCTCCACACAGGAGAAAAACAAAAATTAAAAGTTACAGTCCACTGGAGCAGCATGAGGCTTCTCTTTCCTCAGTAGTAATGTTTCAGTCCTCTGAGAGTTATAGTATAAAAAGGCTGGAAGACAGGGAAGTAGGTTTCATCTGTATTTTAATGGCATTTCTGTGATTTATAAATAATATTTCCTGGTAATAAGGCAAGTCCTGTTGTTTGAAGAACAATGTGATTTTGAAATTTTCTCAAATGTAGAATACAGGCTCTTTGGAACATTTTCTAATGCATATCCCGCCTTGAACTGCAGCCAATATCCAGGAATTTGACAAAAGAATCAAATAAGATTGACATACTTAAAAGCCAAGAGCCTCATCATTGCAGAAGCCACAATTTATGGTGAAGTTTATTAAGAATCTTTCAAAGACTGATAAGTATGACAATATTGCTTACTGTACAAGTCCAGAGAGTTGACAGAAAGCCATTTAATGTAATACGCTTGAACAGAAAGAAAGCAAGAAAGTGAGCAAGAACGAAAAACACACATGTGCAATTGTTAATGAACTAGAGAGTTCTTAGCTTCTCTGTCTCTGTGAGGACTTCATACCTACGTCCATTGTTACAATGAGGTCACTGCTACTAGTTTAGAAAAATCTTTTCCTCAGAGTGTCAGAACTGCTTGCAAGACAGTCTTCAGTAATGTCACTGAGGATCATAATTCCCTGAATTTTAAGAAATAACCACCAGATAAAATTACTTTATTTTGTTTCTGTGTTCAATACACAATACTGCAAACTCATACCTAGCATTTCTGTCTTGCTTGTTATCACAGACAGATCTTTCAGAAGACATATTTACCTTTGTCTTACAGGCTGATCTGCATTCTCTGGGACACCTCACATAGCCATGTATTTCTTCATTCATTTCACCTCCAAACACAGAAAAATAAAAAATATGTGTGTTAAATTACTGAATAATTCAAGTCCATACTTTAATGTAAAGATTTTACATGATTTGCTTTTAGAGTGACTTTAAGAAAACACAATTATTAAAAAATGTTCAGAGGGGTCATGTGATATTCCCATCTTCTTTCATTTAGCAGGAGTTACTGTCAGGATATAGTTCCTGTTATTTTTCAGAGACATTCAGTTTCACATAAACATGTGTAAATAGGAAAGAATATGACATTTCCCGAATGTAACGTGGAGACTCGAGACAATGTGTTTGTATATTTTCCCAGTCCCGGGCTTCTGGAATTCTACGCTGTACAGTCATTTGATTTACCTTTTTACAATTTCTTGTAGCCCTGGACAGATCTGCTCTGCTGTTTTGAGTGGCTGATGATAGCCTACTATCTATTGTGTGATACAATGTTATTGCAGGCAGACTGTTAAATGTTTCACATTAAAAATAATTATTATAATTATAAAGGTAGGGAAAATTTTGAAGGCTTGAAGGCAGAAACCAAGAATTCGTTGGGGTTTTTCTGTTGTTTTTTTTTTGTGTGTTTGGATATGGAGCTGCCACTGTCGAGGAGAAAGAGACCTCTTGAAATGGTGTAAAAAGCTATCTTTCTTCTAAAAAGATCAAAGCGGCGAGTCATCTGATGCTGTCAGCCGAGCAATACACTGAACCATCAACATTCCCTCATTAGAACAGAGAAATCGGTCCTGCATAATAAAGGGTCCTGGTCGCACTCACCAAGGACGGGGTTTGCAGCTTTACCTCACCGCTCAGGTCAAATTTTCACTACGCCCCAGATTCTGCTTCTCAAGGAATGTTAATAATTTGCAATACACAGGACGTACTTCTTACATTTTAAGATTAAAAGACAGTGTACTGCCGTAGTAAGTATGCTGACTGCCAAAGTCAGCAGACAGAAGCAGCTTTCCGAAGGGTGTAACGAAAGCACATTCCCAGGAACATCAGCCCGCACAGAGAGGTGCGGCGGTGCTTTGCTCCAATTTACACCCAGACAGGCGCAAAGTGATGCCGGCTTTCCCACACGCTGCTGAAGCGCCGGCTTCTGCCAGACGTGGGGGCGGCCGTGGGACGCTGAACTCCCGAATCCTCAAGGGGGCCCCGCTGCGTTACTTCCTCGCGGTTACCGCCGCTCTGCGCGGCTTCCAGCCCTTGGACCAACTCCGGTGTTGGCCCTGCTCTGGAGAGGACCTCCCAGACCGCAGGATGCCCGCGGGCTGTGCCAGCTCGGGGCTGGGTGGGTTTTAATCTAAAAGACAAAGCCAAAGTTTCCCTGTCCCTGCGTAGGAACGGCCCCGCGCCGCGGGGCTTCTCGGGTCGCAGGTCGTTCGTTTTTCCTCCTTGCAGCGAGAAACGCCGGCAGCGCCCGCGCCCCACTCCCTGCCGGCACGGAGCAGGGACGACGAGTTTGGGAGGCGAAGGCGCCCGGGGGCGATGCAGGAGCGCGGCGGGGCCGGGCCGGGCCGGGCCGCACCAATCAGCGCGCGCGGCGCTGCTATAAAAGGGGCGGCGGCGGCGGCCTGCGCCATTGTTCTGCCGGCTCCGCAGGAGGCGCCATGGCTGAGACCGCTCCCGTCGCTTCGCCCGATGTGGCCGCCGCTCCTCCGGCTCCGGCCAAGGCAACTCCCGCTAAGAAGCCGAAGAAGGCGGCGGGCGGCTCCAAGGCGCGCAAGCCTGCGGGCCCCAGCGTCACCGAGCTGATCACCAAGGCTGTGTCTGCTTCTAAGGAGCGCAAGGGGCTGTCTCTTGCCGCGCTCAAGAAGGCGCTGGCTGCTGGTGGATACGATGTGGAGAAGAGCAACAGCCGCATCAAGCTGGGGCTCAAGAGCCTTGTCAGCAAGGGCACCCTGGTGCAGACCAAGGGCACCGGCGCCTCTGGCTCCTTCCGCCTCAGCAAGAAGCCCGGCGAGGTGAAGGAGAAGGCGCCCAAGAAGCGGGCGGCCGCGGCCAAGCCCAAGAAACCGGCGGCCAAGAAGCCCGCCAGCGCCGCCAAGAAGCCCAAGAAGGCAGCGGTGAAGAAGAGCCCCAAGAAAGTCAAGAAGCCGGCGGCTGCTACCACCACCAAGAAGGCGGCTAAGAGCCCCAAGAAGGCGACCAAGGCTGCCAAGCCCAAAAAGGCAGTGGCTGCAAAAAGCCCGGCTAAGGCAAAGGCGGTGAAGCCCAAAGCTGCCAAGCCCAAGACGGCTAAGCCAAAGGCAGCCAAGGCAAAGAAGGCGGCGCCTAAGAAGAAGTAAACGGTCCTGAAAAACTCCCGTCTGCCTTGCAGACAACCCCCAACGGCTCTTTTAAGAGCCACCCAACCTTTCACGAAAAGAGCTGAAACACTGTTTCTTACTATTTTATGTGGTTCTTGGTGTAACTTCCGTACTCCGGCACTACTGCTGCCGGCAGTCCCTCAGATAACGGTGCACACAGCTGCTTCCGCGTCCTTGTTCTCCGCGGGCAGCTCCGGCAGAGCGCGGTACCGCTCGCTGCAGCCCGACAGCGCGGGCGCGGTGCAACAAACCTCCAGGGCAGCTGCGGGACGCCCCCCCGGGTACGATCCCGAACCCGCTGTGCTTCGGGCAGCGCTCACCGGCCCGGCCCGCAGCGGGAGGCAGCTCTCGCAGGCGCTGCTCCGTCCCTTGTCAGCCCGGGAGTTGCGCAGGGAGGGGGGGGGGGCGCGCTCGGGGCCGCTCCCGCCCGCACCCCAGGAGCTGTGCCCATTTCGAAAAGCCCGCGCTGCGCGTAGATTGGCTGCGCCTCTCGGGCTTTGCTGGTGCACGGGAGTTTTCGGGTTAAACAGACGCCCCGTCTCTAATCCGACAGGCGGGGTTTTACGTTCTTCCCGCAGAGGAAGAGGTTTATGAGCTTCCTGGTACGAGCCTGCTTCATAGCTGAGGGCTTTTTCACTCCCAGTCTATATCTGCCCCCCCTTGAAGTCGTAGGGTGAGGGGACTGCCGGCGGCACGGGGGTGTTCCTCGACGGCCCTTGAGCTGCCCGCGTCCCCGCTCTCCGGTTGAGGCTGTGTCCCTTAAAACTGCTACGGGCACTGTAGGAACCCGCGGGGGCTCGAAGCATCCCCCCGCCTGCCCCCCAAACTCGCTGCCCCCGCCTCTTCCCGGCGATTTGACCGTACCCTCCTCCCGCCGCCTTCACCGCATTCAAAGGATGTTTTCCCTATCCTTAGCTGTGGCAGGAGAAAGGAAAAGGGACGGGAAAGCTCTTTCCTCGCTTCTAGTCATGGCTCTGGTATCAGTGTTTCCCCAGCAGAAGGAAGAATTTCGTAGAATCACCTGTTCAGCTCTCAACAAAAACGGTTGATCTCAAGTCAGTAGTTCGTAAATCCGAAGTGATTAACCCAAAATGGGGTCCCTGCAATTTAGAGAAGAAATTGAGACCTGATTACTGTGTTGCTAAAAAAAATAAATAAATAAATAATAGACGTCCTAAGTCCTTGTGCTAAAATGTAATGAATACAAAATAGACCCTTCCCGATTTGTGGTTGTGGAAAGTGTCTTAAAATAAATACATTTTCCTGAAAACTTTATCTTATGCTTCTTCTGCATGTCTACCTAGAATACAGCTGACATTTTGGCCCTTATTTGAAATTGCCTCTTTCCCTATATAACGTAGAAACCCGCATACACATCACATTCTTTATTTTTTTTTCTAAGATTCTTGGGCCACGTCCCTGCATCCTGATAACTCAAATTCCTGAGCTGAGATGCGTGTGCCTTTGCAGTGAAAGTGTGTGCCTAACATGCTCTCATGGTTACCGTAAATGAAGGCTGTCGGGTGTCACACCAATTAATTTTAGAGGGTTTCACCCGACTGCTGGCACTGACTCGATCAGACTGGGTCCGATGTGATTCTCCAGCCGCCTACACCTTGTTAAAAAGGAGTGGAATTTGACTGGGTACCGTCAAACAAAAAGCTGTGCAATGAGAGAGAATGGGGGCGGTGGTGGTGGGAAGGAACACGTAAAATCACAGGCCGAAAATGCATATTTTTCATAGATCAATGTTTTGTGATATCTTTATGGGAGGATACATTATATGAAGCCTTTCAGCTTGAAAGGAGGGGGGAATAAAAAAATGTCCATGAGAGGGCAGCAAACACTCAATAATGGAAACATTTTTTTCATTTGTGATCCTTTGTATCTAGAAAGCCAGCTACTTAATGTCTGTCGCCGAGATCTTTGATAAATACTGCTTGCAACAGTAATACCGCAGCACATTTTCCACTCCAAAAGAAAGCAAAGTAAGAAGTAAATACACTCCCCCGAAGTATAAAAACAACTTGTTTTTAGGTCTTTAATCTTTCAGCCTCTTTAAAAAAATAGCTAAATATGTGTTTATACTACCATCGGAATGGAAAATATTATGCAACTATTTCTCAAAAGAACACATTTAGTCATAAAAAAAGAAACTAAAATGCAGTAAATAAAGATTAAACTCTCTCGTTTAATGTACATTTTTGTTGTTAGACTTTCATTGAAGGAACGCTCAGAAAAGGCAGGAAATAGAGATTATTCAAGGAGGAGGAAAAAATTCTTAGAAATGCTATTGGACAGATTTTGCTGCAAGACACTCCATTAAAAATCGAGGAGCAGTTTTTTTAAACACTATATCCATATATAATAATCAATGCTACTGGAAAATTAGTCGAAGAGGTTCAATTGCAATACAAACTACGTACCCATATTTTGAAATACAAATTACAGTTGATAGAGAAATTTCAGAGTTGCAGTAACCAGGATACCCTTATATGATCGAGATTTTAGTTCCAACTCATCGTCATGTAGCAGGCTTGGGGGGGCGTGGAGAGGAAAAAGAAAAGCTTCTACAGGTATATCTTACCCGATACATTTTTAATCTGGAAAAAAAAAAAAAAAAAAAAAAAAAAAAAAAAAAAAGACCACACACCAAAAAAAAGCCCTGGGAAGAACAGAACAAGTCTCACGAATTTTTGTGCGATTGGGGCTCGCTAAACCAGCGGCGGGAACATTCGGCGGGAGCGAACCCCAGGCTCCGCCCCGTGCCGGCGCAGTCCCCAACCAGGTCGGCTCCCCCGCTATAAAGGGCGCGGCGCGGCAGCGGGCCGCTCACAGCTCGGCTCAGGCAGCAGCAGCGGCACCATGTCCGGCAGAGGCAAGGGCGGGAAGGGGCTCGGCAAGGGGGGCGCCAAGCGGCACCGCAAGGTGCTGCGCGACAACATCCAGGGCATCACCAAGCCGGCCATCCGGCGCCTGGCGCGGCGCGGCGGCGTCAAGCGCATCTCGGGGCTCATCTACGAGGAGACGCGCGGCGTGCTCAAGGTCTTCCTGGAGAACGTGATCCGCGACGCCGTCACCTACACCGAGCACGCCAAGCGCAAGACGGTCACGGCCATGGACGTGGTCTACGCCCTCAAGCGCCAGGGACGCACCCTCTACGGCTTCGGCGGCTAAAGCGCGCAGCCAGCTGCTTCTCGGACCCTCTCGACACCCCAAAGGCTCTTTTAAGAGCCGCCCACCTTCTCTTCAGAAAGAGCTGTGACATTGTACGTGTTCTTTGAAAGAGCTGTGTGTTACATTTATTGCTTATTGTAGCCTTCCTTTGTATTGACAGTTACTGTTTCTGAAGAATTTATGGTAATCGCAGTTTCGTCCTTTTCCCAACGTTAATAGCAAAGCTGCTTGTGCTCTGTGAAAGCCTTATTAATTCCCCTGTGATAGCTGAGCACGCTGCCAAAATTTAGTGTTTCGTGACCAATGATTTCCTAATCAATTTTTTTTTTCATTTTCAAAGATCTATGTGTAATCTGGAATACTATTCAATGTATTATTCCTTATTTTTTTTTATATCTAAGTATAGGTTATCTGCATTTACAGGAAAAGGGAAGCTAATGTAAGAAAAGATGAATGTTTCTTTTCTCATAACTTCTAAATTTTTTAACTGTAATCTGGTTTCAGTTCTATGTTAATTATTTTTAAAAGTCCTTTTCACGTGTAGTATTTAATGCAGATTTTTGGAAAAAAAATATATATATATTTCCAATTTTCTCCCTCATGCACCTGGCAACACATCTTAATAAAAAATAATCCCCATCCGTTATTTTATCAAAAGGAGAATTGTCCACAGGCTCTTGTCATTATGCAGCTCTCCCTCCCAACTGAGTTTTCGAGGAAGTATTAATGTTTTCTTCATTTCATCATAGAAGAAGATCAAATATAATAAATAAATAAAATCTTTCATACTTATATAAAAATATTTGTTACAAAAGTCGACTCAAATGGCTGTCAGTAGATGCTTGTGGTCATTTCTCTGTTTCTTACAGATTAAGTTCTCACCAGTGGAGTAGAGCCAAAAGAAATCAGTCTATTCCAAAGTGCTTTTCATTAGACCAGAATGACCCTTGTCTAAAATTTCTCAGTGAAGAATTTAGTTGACAATTCTTATGATCTCTCATGTTGACTTCCTTTAGCAACAAGTAAATGACGTAAGAAAAGTAACTGAAAAGACCCATATTCATTGTTACAGCTCATAACATAATGAAAATTTGTAGCTGTGGCAAGTATAGGATTTCCTAGGCATTTGTCTCTGGGAAACTAGGGGATTTTTCTTAGAGGCTGTAAGGTTAGCGTGCCTGTTACTGTAAAAGGGGGGGATGTATAAAATAATAGTAGTAGTAGTATGATTATTATTATTCTGTAATCAGATCACCAAAAGAAACTATTAAGCTTATTTATATAAAACTGCATCTTCTTCGAGCCTCCACACGGCTCTTAACCTGTCAGGAACCCGGGAGAGAGGGAAAGCCAGAGAAGCAAAAGCGATGTGAGCGCTGTATCTGAAATGCAGCCCCTCCGACCCCCTCCCCCCCCCCACCCCGGTTCGAACACGGAGTGCGCCGGGACTGGGGGAGAAGGAGGAGGGGGGAGAGGGGCAGGCAGCGGCGCATCCACCTTCCTTGGGCTCGGGCCGGGATCTCAAGGTACCCAATGAGGATAGCGCTCCTCTCGACCAATCAGCGATGGGCCGGCTCTATAAATAGCGGTGCTCCGCTAGCAGCTGCGGTGCCCTGCTCGCAGAGCCTGCTCGGTGGCTGTTAGGCGATGGCGCGCACGAAGCAGACGGCGCGTAAGTCGACGGGCGGGAAGGCGCCCCGCAAGCAGCTGGCCACCAAGGCGGCTCGCAAGAGCGCGCCGGCCACGGGCGGCGTGAAGAAGCCGCACCGCTACCGGCCCGGCACGGTGGCGCTGCGCGAGATCCGCCGCTACCAGAAGTCGACGGAGCTGCTGATCCGCAAGCTGCCCTTCCAGCGGCTGGTGCGCGAGATCGCGCAGGACTTCAAGACCGACCTGCGCTTCCAGAGCTCGGCCGTGATGGCGCTGCAGGAGGCGAGCGAGGCCTACCTGGTGGGGCTCTTCGAGGACACCAACCTGTGCGCCATCCACGCCAAGCGCGTCACCATCATGCCCAAGGACATCCAGCTCGCCCGCCGCATCCGCGGGGAGCGCGCCTGAGGCTCCTGACTCAGCCCTTCCACCTCTTCTGCTGCGGCAGAGGAGGCTGCACTCAGACCCAAAGGCTCTTTTAAGAGCCACTCCATGCACAATAAAAAGAGCTGTAGCACCGTTCTTAAGTAGTTTTTAGAAATAGTAACTTGAAATACTTGGTCTTTTTCCAAATTGCAGCACTGGGTTTGAGACCCCTGCCCTCCAGATTCTTGTTAACTTAGTGCCTGTATAAAGATATTTCATGTATTTCCCGAGTATTTTGAGGTGCTGAGGATTTCTGTTTTATTAAGAGATTTATAAAAATATTAAGAGTGAAGACTGATTATTTTTTTCCAATAATTAACATATATAATCTGTTTGAACTTGCACTTCCATATGTATTAATGAACAGATAGGCACTCTTAAGCAGTCGGGAAAAAATACTGAGCAGTATTAGAATTCTAGGATTAAATAGCAGGCAGTGGTAGCATAGATGAATGTATACATGGCTTTCTCAGGTAAGAACATCTCCCATATAAGGACTTGCCTTAGCTCAAATCTTCACTGACACATTCAGAGGTCTTGTATGAGGCTTTGGATTTCTAACAGAGAAATAGGAATTTCTCCTGTTAACTTGAAAAACATCTTCCCCTTCTCCCTTAGTTGTGAGAGCTCCCAGTTCATTACCTGGGGTATGACACTAAACCTGGGATGGCACTGAACATGGGCTAGCAGCAAAGGGTGCTACCCTGTCAGAGCAGTCACCTGTTGCACTTAGAGGATTCTTAAGACGTAACTTGCTGTGCTTTACAGTCCCAGAGAACACACAGAGATAACAAGAAATGAGAAAAGGAGATGGCAACATACATTGACTGTAGTAATCAGCCCAGAATGAGGTTGTGGATTTCCTTCTTGTGCTTCCCCCTATCTCCCCTCCCCCCAATTAATAAAAAAATAAAATAACTCGCCCAACACATTTATCTTTTTGTCCTTATTTTGAGATTAGGTTGTAAAGGAAGTAAAGAGATTAAAAGTTACCAAATTATAAAGGGAATGGACAAAGGATCTACTGTTTTTTGATTTTTACTTAGGAATAGAATATGTGTGTGTGTGTATACATATATATATAAACCACAGATTTCATGCCTATTTACATGTAAATAACATAATAAAATTTCTAAAGTAATTTTGAGACAAAGTAAATGAAACTCAAAAGATACAGAAAAAAAAATATTGGCAGTTTTTGGAATTGAGGTTTTATGGTATGTCGTAACAAGCATTTCTCATTATTGTAAAATCATGAAGTGAGAAGTAATATTTAATTTACAATTTGGAAGTGAATAGAAGTTTCATGTTCTCTCAAGTCAGGGAACAAAATCATAGCCTGACTTCTTTCTTGTATTTTGGTTGTTCTAGAGCATATTACATTCACTGGACAGAAAAAAAAATATATATATAAATAAATATAAAAATGCTGCACTGTTTTATTTCAAGTTTTGTCTTTTGTAACTCATCATAGCTATTCTTTTTGGGTCAGTTTTGATAGATACTGCAGATACATGACCTGGGAACAAAGATATTAACTAATCATCAGTTGTGATGAAAAATTTCCCCATTCACTGTAGCAATTAGCTTCCATGGACTACTATCAATGCAGGCTCCACTCTGTGATCAGGCATGGCACTGTACATAGGCAGCGAGGTAGTTTTTATTCCCCTCTTATCTTCCCCTTCATTTAATTTCATATGTAACAAGGCTGCCTGCTTTGACATTTTAACCTTTTCTAACCTCAAAGTGGTACTTGGCTACAAACTTAAGTCATTTCAGCAACGAATCTCTTGCCAACATGGAACAAGAAGAACAAACAGTATGTAGCCTGTTGTCCAAAGTCTTAGAGTATAGTCAGATACATAGTTAATAATTCCTTTTAAATTACACTTATGGGCACAGTCTATATATTACTCTAGCTTAAGCAGTTCCATTTAATCAAATTTTCACCCCTTATTGTGCAAGTGTTATTGTGCAAAGAGAGTAGTTTCTTCTTTCACTTCTTTTATCAATACAGCAGAACAGATCAGAACCACAGAAAAGAAAAAAAAAAGGGAAAAAAAAAAGAAAAATCCAGGTTGTTTTGAGAGAGAGGGAATTTGGAAATAAAGATGATAGATACTGTGTGAAGGAAAAACATATGCATATATATATACACATGTATGCGTATGGACATTCGTGTATACATATAAAATATGTATGTCTGTATGTATGTATTGCTACCCTACATGTGACCTTCATAAAAAAAAAAAAAAAAAAAAAAAACATTGCTGTTTTCTAGTCCCCATCCCTTTCATATCTAAAATATCATTGAGAATATTCCTTGTATTGGGTATGTTTTACCTCCTGTGTAGTGTTTCTGAAACGCCCTGTGAAATTTACTGTAGGTTTCCCCAGATGCCATCCTCAAGTAGTTCAATTTCATTTCAGATCAGATTGGATAACATTTACAGAAGCATATTCGATAGGCCAGACTGTATGATCAAGAGCAGAGGAAAAGATTCCATAAGAATCAAAATCACAGTAATCTGAGTGTTTTATTTGTGAATGAAAATAAATGGTGACTGTTGTGAGATGTTGAACAGATAGACTGCAAGACTAGACAAGATAAACTGGAAAATGAAAGTGAGCTAGAGGCCAACTGTAACTTCCTGTCTACAAAAATCTTGCACTAAACCAAAATTCTAATAAACGTTGATCTCACATTGTATTCCTCTTCTGACTCTACCTTCTTTTTAGAATCAAATACAAACTCTCGTCCTCAATTCTCGAAGCCATGTAAAGATGTTTCCTACAAGACTTAAAGGCTTGGCAGCTGCTTCCCCTCCCCTAGCTCTTTTGGTCCGAATGAAAACCACAAATATTCCTCCTGTGCCAGCGCTTCCTCTTTGCGAAGGGCAGGGGGAGGGAGGGGGGTGGGAGAGAGATGGGCGAGGAGAACGGAGCGGTGGGGGAGGGACGGATGGGGGAGACAGCAACCTTTCCCAGGAGCATCCTCCAGCTTCTAGCTTGTTTTTCCCAGCCTCGCTGCTTTACAGTACTCCAGCCGGATTTCTCCAAGTCAGGCAAACAACACTGAGAATACAAAGAACAAATAAATTCACTTGCTTCGGTTTCCTATTATCCCTAACATAAGGATTTCTTAACTAGTTTTTATTTTATTCACGTGATGCACAAATAAGTAGGACTCTTACATACCTTATAAAGTCTTAAGTCTTACACTATACCCTCTTTTAAGTAGTGACTCAGTACATTTGTATCAATCACATTAATAAAATTAAAAAAAATTTAAAAAGTGTTATGCTTATCTTCGATGTACTAACACTGACCATGCCTTCCATGTTCCTTAACTGTAGTAACCCGTGCAGGGGACAATACTGCCACTTTTTTTTTTTTTTTTTTTAAATGAACGGTATAGTTCTCGCCATGCTTAATGAATATCTCATTTGCTAATTTTCTCACAATTTCTAATTCAGTGTAGCCGAACAGATATATTTCCAAGCCCCTCAACTAAAACAGCACATAACACAGTTTACTTAAAAACCCAATGGGATACTCCTAAGAAACATTTAAACTTTTTTTTCCCCTCTGGACTATCGATAATAAACTGCAGAGCTCAGGTAAGGGAAACTAAACAGATGCAAGGTTTAATAGTACTTATAAAAGAGTCTAAAATGTACAATACCGTGAAAGAACTCTAAGACTGTCACGTATTCAAATAGTGTCTCAGCTCTCTCAAGTGGTGAAGTGGTGGCTCTTAAAAGAGCCTTTAGGGTGCAGGGATGAAGTTGAGGACCAAGGACCGGGAAGGTGGGTCAGGAGCCTCAGGCGCGCTCCCCGCGGATGCGGCGGGCGAGCTGGATGTCCTTGGGCATGATGGTGACGCGCTTGGCGTGGATGGCGCACAGGTTGGTGTCCTCGAAGAGCCCCACCAGGTAGGCCTCGCTCGCCTCCTGCAGCGCCATCACGGCCGAGCTCTGGAAGCGCAGGTCGGTCTTGAAGTCCTGCGCGATCTCGCGCACCAGCCGCTGGAAGGGCAGCTTGCGGATCAGCAGCTCCGTCGACTTCTGGTAGCGGCGGATCTCGCGCAGCGCCACCGTGCCGGGCCGGTAGCGGTGCGGCTTCTTCACGCCGCCCGTGGCCGGCGCGCTCTTGCGGGCCGCCTTGGTGGCCAGCTGCTTGCGGGGCGCCTTCCCGCCCGTCGACTTACGCGCCGTCTGCTTCGTGCGCGCCATCGCCTGCCGATTGCCGAGCCGCCGCTTCCAAGGGGAGCCGTGCGATGGGAGCGCTGCGGCTCCGCGGCCGCTCTTATAGCGTGCCCCGCTCCTCGATTGGCTGGCAGGAATGCTGCGGCTTCATTGGGTGTTTTCAAATTCAAAAAGCCCGCCTCGAAAGCGCGCCTCTTCGCTAACCGGCCAGCGGCGCCTGCCCTCCCCCTCCTCGGAGTCGCCGCTGTTGCTTTCGGCCGCGTCTGTTCCTTAGGGATGGAGATCTCCACGTTGTATCTCCAAAATGGAGACTCGCAGCGGTCTGCGGGAAAGACGTTGTTACGCTTTCCCAACCACATGGGACATTCGCGTTCCTTTTCTCTCAACTCACTTGCACCCGAGCTCTGAACATAAAGCGTGCTCCAGATTTTTCTCAACAGGACCCCTTACAACAGATCCTTTCATTAAGAGAACTTAGTCCTGAGCTAGTACAAATTAATACCGCATCGTGTGTGCTAAATGCTTTCCAACTGATATGAAGTGTAAGTGAAGATGCTCTAATCCAAGGAATGAGATTTTGAACACAGAACTTTAGTATGGAGGGTACTATAAAGCATGCTATAATAAGCACGCTTATTTCTGTGCTACGTTCCCCAGCCGGGAGGGATCCTGAAACGGGGACGGGTTTCTGAGCGAAATGAAGAGCGCTGATGAAAAGTGGATGCACGGAACTGCTCAGGCTTCAACAGCTCCCCATTGAAAGACGAGACGGTACAAGTTTTAATACACTTCACATACAGATCGTTTGAGATGATTTCTGAAAAAATACGTTCGGACACTTGGGGTCATTCCAGCATTTGCGTGCTTATGAGGTGTTCAGGGGACGAGCAGCTGTGGGCATGTCCCCTCTCCCCCTCCTCCATTCAGCACACTTCCTTTTGCTGTAAGGCAGCACAGGGAACAACGTGATTTAAATATAAATAGCTGCCTACATCCGCTCTTTGTTTACTCAGCGTTTGAGAACAGCCCTGCAGAGGAGGCCCCTGCTGGGCGCAGCAGACCTGCCCCTGGGCTGATCCAAAGCTCCAAGCCTAGAGCAGTAAATTAAGGGGGGTTCACCTCTGATATCCGGCCTATTTTATCTTTCGGGAAATAAGCCAATCCTAACCTTAAGATTCCCGTTACACTGCTGAAGGGGAAATCAGTTACACTGTACATTCTCTTGTTCACTTATCTGACTTAACAGAAGTCAAGCCACGAAACAAAACTAGTAACTGGGTGCTTAAGTACATCTCACTTAAGGCTGACTAGTAAACAATCTAAGACTTAAACGACTTTCAACAGTCAAGGTATAGATATGTAAAGCTTTCTTTCAGTACATTTAAAGTAACACAGCTCTTTCTGAAGAGAAGGTGGGCGGCTCTTAAAAGAGCCTTTAGGGTGTCGAGAGGGTCCGAGAAGCAGCTGGCTGCGCGCTTTAGCCGCCGAAGCCGTAGAGGGTGCGTCCCTGGCGCTTGAGGGCGTAGACCACGTCCATGGCCGTGACCGTCTTGCGCTTGGCGTGCTCGGTGTAGGTGACGGCGTCGCGGATCACGTTCTCCAGGAAGACCTTGAGCACGCCGCGCGTCTCCTCGTAGATGAGCCCCGAGATGCGCTTGACGCCGCCGCGCCGCGCCAGGCGCCGGATGGCCGGCTTGGTGATGCCCTGGATGTTGTCGCGCAGCACCTTGCGGTGCCGCTTGGCGCCCCCCTTGCCGAGCCCCTTCCCGCCCTTGCCTCTGCCGGACATGGTGCCGCTGCTACTGCCTGAGCCGAGCTGTGAGCGGCCCGCTGCCGCGCCGCGCCCTTTATAGCGGGGGAGCCGACCTGATTGGGGACTGCGGCCGGCACAGGGCAGGGTTCCCGCCGTTTTTGCTTTCTCTTCTCTCTCACTGACTGAGGTTTAAGTTACTTTGACTTCCTATTAATTTCGTGCTGTTGTTCATTTAGTCATTTCTTTTGTTTATATTTCAGACTGATGAACTTTTCTTCAAAAGTTTTCATGTTTTGATATCCTGCCATACAGGCTTTGTACTTTGGAGCTTTTTTCACAACATTTGTGCTGTCAGATTTTCTAAAATATTGTTTTTGCCTTTTGGTTTCCAGCTCTTGTTTCTAAAAAGGGGACTGTGATACCCTTTCCCCATGTTTACATAACTAAGTTTGAGTCTATATACACACATTAACCAGAATACTGAATTGAATCTTTTCATTTTTATATTTATATTTATATTTATATTTATATTTATATTTATATTTGGTGTTCACCTTTATTTTGCTCATTTGCACTTACTAACGTGAGTTCTTTTTCTCTTACCTTTTACCATATTTCCATTGTTGCTATTGTTTTGATTTTTTTTCCTGCCTATCTAATATGCATTACCGCAGAAAAGCTGTATGCTAAAAAAAAAGGGAATTATCTTTTTTCCTGTCTTCCAATGTGAACCATCCCTCACTAAAACCTTCTAATCAACTGCTATACTGCACCTAGTAGAAGCATTTACAGTTTTTATCTAAGCTGTACCAACTGTGCTTGCTCTTCCAGAGGTACCAAGTGATGTTGGTATACTCTGGTATAATCTAAATTGTAATATAATTAGGTGTAATCTAAATTCCCGTAGATTTGCCGTAGTCTTATTAATATCTCCTTTCTCTCCCTGGGAGGAGTTAACAGGCAATGCGAGTACAATACTTAAAAATAAATAAATAAAAATAAAAATTTTGCTTGCTTCAGTTCCTGTCAAGTCACAAAACAGTAAGCATCTTGGGCATTTTCTGCTGTTACTAACCTAAAGGAAGATTCTAGTACTGTGTAAGGTTTTTGTTTGTTTGATAGGTCATACTGTCTTTACTTCACTTAGTAGTGCCTTGCTATCAACAGAACACAACATTTCAGAAGCCTTTCCCTTCTGCTCCGCGACACCAGCCAATACGTAGTAGTGACAGTGCTCTTGCAAGATTAAACATTTTTTGAATGTTTAGTACAAATGCATACTAAGGAAAGATTCACAGCAAGATGGAATCAAGACAGATTGGATTTTGTGAGACAGAAGCAAATGATTCTGGTGTGCTGACAACACTTGCTATCCATCCATGTGATAGGTACTCTGGATTTTTTGGTTTCCATCTGTAAGATTTTGACTGCCACACTTATATTCTCTTTGTGTTGTTGCTTTGCTTGTGTTTTTTTTATTATTTTATTTTATTTTATTTTATTTTATTTTATTTTATTTTATTTTATTTTATTTTATTTTATTTTATTTTTTTTTTTTAATTTTTCATCCTCTAGTTAACTAATGTAGTTTTTCATATGTGTTTAAACTATAGCACTATTTGATAGGGCTGGAGGGTTTTATGTATGCATTGATAACTTTAGAGTAAGTAATTAGAATATACAGTTTTTAATTTAATCCTGAGCTTAAAAATAAATCTATCACTGTGGTGCTGATGCCATGGTACATAGTCTGAAACACTTTTCAATTGAACCGAAAATACAAACTAAAGCAAACCAAAAAATGTCCTGTATGTTGTGCATGCATACCCCAAGATTCAGCCAAAACCACCACCAGGGGAGAGAAGAAAAGGAATGAAGTCTGGGGTGCAAAAGCTGGGGGGAAAAAAAAAAAGGAAACCTTGAAGAAAATAGGGAGACCTGTAGTTTGTGTAGTCTTTCTACAGGTTACAAGCCTTCAGGAGTCCCAGGTAGGAGCCTTCAGAGGCCTGGACAGGACTGTTTGTGTTAGAATTACAAAAACACACTTTGTAGGGTGTTTCTCACACACAGCAACATAACAGCTCTCAGGACTGAAGGTCATGGCCAGACTAGCATGCCTCTGGATTAGTAAATCTGATGTGTCTACCTTGTAAGGAGAAGGCTTCCAATGGCCTCACCATACACAAGCTGCAGGCTAGCTGAAATATATAGGTTCTTCTTTCCCCTGCCACTACACTATTTAATAGCTTAGTGGATAGCATTGGTGACAGGAGGACAGTTGGACTAAATTATCTTGTAGGTCCTTTTCATCCTTGTGTTTCTATGATTCTATGATTCCACGATTCCACAGTCTTAAGAGATATGCACTCGTGATTGCAGCCTGGCAATTCCCCCAGGCTACCTAGGCATGGGCTGGTGCTGGCAGGCTCACTGAATAGCTGGTGTAGCTGAATACCTCTATGAAGAAAGACCAGGGGAACTCCTCGACCAGTACTGGGGAGTTGGGAAGATATTAGCGTACCTAGTTCCTCACATGAAGCTCTTTTAGGAAACAGTAGAGAAGGGACAGGGCAATAAATTGAGACAGGTATAACCTTGCCCATCCATGTTGTCCTCCCTGGGCTCTGGGTTTCTTCCAGGAAGAAAAAAGGATTGAGCCCAGTCAGATCTCACCAACAGTTGCTTCAAGTGGTTTTCCAGGAGCAGGGTGGTAGATAGATGTCAAAGCTCTGTAGCACACCATGCATATCCTACACCTGCTCACGAACTCTGCTGATACTAACTGCTTCTCTTAAATTCTGATTTTGCTTCCTAAACTGGCACTTGAAGTAGCACAGGTCTCCTGATATATTGACCATTGATTAAGCTAGAAAAACCTTTAATGAAAGCATTGTAAGCATGAAGTTTCCTACACAGCAGAGACTGTTAAGATTTTCCCTTGCCTGGGATCCTGCAGAGCTGCACTGGGCAATAAGTTTTCTTCCTGAACTCTGCCAGCTCCTATGGAGTTGTAAATACTTAAAAGCAGCTGAAGTACTGTTCAATCCTAGGAGTCATTCTGGGGCATAGTTTTCCAAGAAATGAATCTACTGTGGGCATGCCAGCAGAAATGTCTTGAATTTTGTCTTGGGCTCTCTGCTTTTGGAGGAGGCCAAGTCTGTAAAATGATGGTATGCATTGTGTCAGTGTCTCCAGACACTACTGCTGTGCTTTTGTCTTTGTTTCATTAATATTTTGGTTGGAAACCCAGATGTGGGAGGCGGGTTGTTGTTTTTTTGTTTTGTTTTGTTTTGTTTTTGAAACCCCAGCTGCTTACAGAATTTTATTTATTCTTAGGCTCTGGCCACAGCAACAGGCTTCCCTTTAAACACCCAGTACCTGGGAAAGATGACCTTAAGCCCCAGGTCCTTTGAAGGGAGGCTCCAGCCAGTCATTTCCCAGACCATGCTGATGCAAGTATCTGTTCTGCTTTATATTTCTCTTTGACAGACTGCGTAAATTCTATCTTGGCCCAATCTTCAAGTTTATTAAAGTCTATTGGAATGAAATATCTTACTTTTGTCTCTTTCTACCTTCTATCTAACTTAGTGTCTACCACACAAGCCATTCTGTTTTGTCATCCAGGTTATTACTGAAAACACCAAATTATACCAAGTATCCAGTCATGGGAATTTCTTCTCTTTTATGAGTGTCCACTGATATTGAGTTGTTAACTGCAGTGCTTTGACCCCATGCTACAGCCAATTTTCAAACATCTAATGGCCTGCTGATCCTGCCCATATTCCCTCAGACCCCAAATGAAAATGCTGTGGGAGATTGTTCCAAAAATGTTCCTAATTGCAAAGTGTAGTGCACTCTTCCCTTGCACATGCAGATTTTCTCTGATCTATAGTTCTGTGATGATTACCAATATTTAGACATCAGCATTTATTTGTTGCCCTCCACCCATTATCAACAGTTAATCATACCCCTTTTATTTCTGACACTTGCTTAGTATCACTGACTCTTGGACACTTCACAGTCTTCCCAAGCTACATTTTTCCAGTGTGTCACTCTAGTCTGTATTAGAAGTTATTTCCCTTCATCTAATTTGCTGCAGCAAATAACATTTTTTTGTATTTCCCACAATGTACACTCAGCAAAGTTAACGCCCCTCCTTTTAATATTTTTAAGATATATTTAATATTATATCTTTAATATTTTTTTGCAAGAAGGAATTTCAGGTTTTCAGCCTTCTCTTTGAGACAGGTAACTGCAATTGTATGCACCTTTCTATAAGATAATACTTCTTAGACTTCTGATGGTTACTGTTGCTTTTTTTTTTTTTTTTTTCCCCTTATTTTCCTCTTCTTATTACCTGATGGTCTGCACTAAAAGCTAGGCATAAAACATACATGTACAATGAGATTATACCAGTCCTGACTACAGTGGAAGATCATCTCCATGTATGATGCAGAAACAATCGTTGTATACTCATCACACATATAATCATGTGTTTTTTCCTTAATACCTAGTAAAATAGTTGGTTCATTGTCAAGCTATAAATATATAACTTCAGGTTATAGTTATATCCTTTGACATTGTACCCACTGCATGTACATGTTTGTTTTGTGTTAGAAAAAGTTGTCCTGATTAGTAGTTTCACTTACAATATTTTTTGTGCTTATGAGAACTTCCAAAACTGAGTAAAATTGAAATGGAGGGAAAATCTGTAATATATCAGGCAGCAATTGAGAAATATTCCATTCTCTACTGAGAATATTTCCAAATTTAATTTAAATAAATAAATTTAAATTGTTTTTAAATTAATTTAAATCTAAAGTTAATTTCAAAAACAAAGTTAATTTTGGAACAGAGCAGTTTCATATCTTCTTTGAATTTTGCTGACCTGGTAACTTGTACAACTCAATGTCAATGAGGTATTCCTTTCCCAAGATATGCTGAGTCTGTAGCCCTGTAGCTTAGCTCTTGCCCATGCTCTTTAGAGATCTTAAGAGTAAGAGTAGTCACCTAGGTAAGGAATGGAACTGAGTATTATCACAGGTGAATTTCCTATTTAACTTCACTCATCA